AGAAGCTCACAGATTTTCCTGCCTCACTCTCCTGAGTAGCTGGGATTAGAGATGTGAGCCACCAGAGCCTGAGTTGTAAAATACTTTTGAAGAAGGCAAAAATACTACATTTCTTCATTGTCCTCTTCCATGAGTTCAAGCCCCAGGACCGGCACACACATGAAATATACAATGAGGTTCTTAGAAAAATAAAAAAGAATATAAAAAGAGTATTAATTGGGGGAAGGTTGAGAATCATTACATTCATTTACTTAACAAGTGGTCCTTTAAATAAATATGAAATGCTGGTTTTGTGACTGAGACTGAAGCTTCTCACTTCTAAATTGAATACTGGGTGAGATTTTCCCACATTACAGGAAAAAAAGAGATGGCTAGGACTTTTAAAAGTTGTTTTTCATATTTTCCTCAGAAATATATTTCTTTTTTTTTTTTGTCCAGTCGTGGGGCCTGAACTTTGGGCCTGGACGCTTTCCCTCAGCTCTTCAGCTCAAGGCTAGCACTCTACCACTTGAGCCATAGCGCCAATTCCGGTTTTTTCTTTTTTGCTTATATGGTGCTGAGGAATCGAACCCACGGCCTCATGCATGCAAGGCAAGCGCTCTACCAGTGAGCCACCTTCCCAGCCCAGAAATATATTTCTTAGTCCCATAGCATGGCGGCTGCTTATAGCCAGCTCAGGTGTACAGGGAGTGAACAAGAAGCAAAGATTAATGAAGAGAAACCTTGGAAACAGTCACACTGTTTGAGATATTATGGTCATTTACTGCTCTAAAGCTTCCTAATTCCTATGGTGATCTTACTCAATGTTTTGCAATGAGTGCAAAGAAGGATTATTTTGAGAGCCCCCTACAGCTAACTTCCATAAACACAGAGCCTAAAGCTGTGGAGCTTCCCTTCACAGTTTGTGTTTTGTCCTTCGCCCTCCAGACCTATTTGAGTACAAGTTTGTCAACAGCCGTCTGGTGAACAGCACATTCCTGCACAATAAGGAGGGATGCCCGCTAGATGTAACAGGGACGGGCGAAGGTGCCTACATGGTGTACTTTGTCAGTTTCTTGGGGACGCTGGCTGTGCTTCCTGGGAATATTGTATCTGCTCTGCTCATGGACAAGATTGGCAGGCTCAGGATGCTTGGTAAGCTGGAGAGGAAGGGAAATGGCTGATCAGAACTGATGGGGAGCTAGGGGGTTGGAGGACACTGTCCATAGGCTTCCCACAGTGGATTGTGGAAGAGATTGGCCAGTGAGTAGCTCCCTCTCATGTTTTCTAGAGGATGGGGTCGGCATGGTATAGAACTTTCTTTAAGGGGGCAAAGAAGGTAGGCAGGATAACAAGTGTTTGGGACACACGCTTTGACATGGTTTTGAATCTCAGCTCTACCACCTGCCTTAGACAAGTAATTTACCCTCCATGAGCCTGGTTGTCACCTGCAACATGGAAATGATCATCGTAACTGCCTCATAGGATTGATGAGGGAGATCAACACATGAAAAGTATCAAGATTTTTGGCCTGTGGCTGCTGCTGGTATTACTAATAATTACAAGGGAGTGTGAGGACAAGCGAAAAAAAAAAATCCTTCCTTTGGTTGTCCCAGAGTTAGCTGATGGCCATGGCTGGGTCCTGGGTGGGCTTCATTGCTCTTTCTTGTCCTGGCTGCAGCGGGTTCCAGCGTGATGTCCTGTGTCTCCTGCTTCTTCCTGTCTTTTGGGAACAGCGAGTCAGCCATGATTGCTCTGCTCTGTCTTTTTGGGGGAGTCAGTATTGCATCCTGGAATGCACTGGACGTGTTAACAGTCGAACTGTACCCTTCTGACAAGAGGTAGTTATAGGCGTGATAGCAGGGCACCAGGCTTAGGGCCTGGAGGGCAGGGGAGAAATGGGGCGAGGAAGGGGTATAATCATTGCAGTTTTAACTATTAACCTGTTTTTGGTTTCCTTTCCCCTTTGTCTCCCAATTTATATTATTTGATGCCTATCCTTCCCTTCCGTGATCTCTCCATCCTTCATCTCCCTGGTGCCCACTGCCTGCCATCTTCCATTTCATTCCCTTGCTGTCCTATTCATTGTCTCCTTCCTGGGCCCTTCCTCTACATGGCACTGGGGCTCTCCCGAGCAGAACCACAGCTTTCGGCTTCCTGAATGCCCTGTGTAAGCTGGCAGCAGTGCTGGGGATCAGCATCTTCACATCCTTTGTGGGAATCACCAAGGCAGCCCCCATCCTCTTCGCCTCAGCTGCCCTTGCCCTTGGCAGCTCTCTGGCCCTGAAGCTTCCTGAGACCCGGGGGCAGGTGCTGCATTGAGGGGGTCTCTGGGGTTTTAGGGATGGCAGGCACACTGTGAGACCAACAGCTCCTTCTTCCCCTTCCCTGCCCTGCCATCCTAGCCCCCCAGAACCCTCACTCTCCACTCCTGTGTTTGGTGTCTTAGCTGTGTGTGTGTGTGTGCATGTGTGTGACCCCTCCTCCCCCTCCCCCGTGGGCAGGGACTACAGGGAAGGCGCCTTCACCCCAGTTGTGGGATGAAGCACTCCCCACTTCCTACCACCCTTGACTTTGCACAAGAGAAGGCTGAGCCCCATCTTCTCTCCTCCAGTGTTAGTGAGGGGCCCTTGCTTCCCTGCTCAGGGGTTCCAGAACAGACTTCCTGCCTTCCCCTCATTTCCTCTGCCTAGGCCCTGGTGAAACCATGGATATTATGTTGGGGGCTGGGGTTGAGTGTAGACTATGGACCAAAAGAACTCAAGAGTCTGAAGGGTCTCGGGTGCCCTCTCACACCTCCTATTGGATGCTGGGGGAGTAGCAATAAACCTCAGCCCTCTGGCCTCCACTTTCCCCTCAATTTGGGCTATAAGTATGAAGCCTGGATTTTATGAAATTACCTTTCTGATCCTTATTTATTTAGATATTAAGTTCTGAGGCAGCTCAGCAGGACTGTGTGTGTGGATGTATGTGTACACTTACGTATGTGGATGTATGTGCCATGGGGGAGGGGTACCACTATACTGTCCTATCAACTATAAGCCAAGGACAATCTCAATGGACACACGCTCTGCCTCCCACAGTACCTCCCTGAACTTTGTGTCTGTGTTGGGCCTAGGAGGGAGGAGTCCTAGGCCAGGCCAAGGTTGAGTCCTGTAGCCTAGTGAAACCCAAGGGCCCTTGACAAGGCCTGTCTCTTTCCTTCAAATGTAGGCCTCCTCTGGAGTGAGAGGCTCCACCCACTCACCACAGCACAGTTAGGAAGAGCACAGTTCCCTCTCTTGCCCCAGTCTATCTCCTAGCTGATGGTGAATCGAGAGAAGGAAAGAAACCAGGCATATAGGGTCACACCAGCAGATCAAAAAGCACAAGGAGCTGGGGCAAGGGCCCTCCTGGCAACTCTTTTCCAAGAGGAGAGGTTGGGCATTAAGAGAGGGACCCCAAAGGCAGGGACCAGAGCCTCAATTTCCCCATCTCACCCACACAATAGCCTCTGTAGGTGAAGCTGCCCCTGTCCCGCTCTACTCTGCGTGGCTGCTTTGGTGCCCTCCTCCCATCCCCACAGTAGCTGTGATGTATTGTAGTTTTTAGGTGTTTGTAAAATGTTTAAAAAAAAAAAAGTTAAAAGGAAAAAAGTGAAAATAACAAAAAAGAAAATCCAGATTCACCCTCATGCTCTGTCTGGTGCCCTATGGTCACTCCCCAATTTTGTAACCCTGAACCAGGTGGTGACTGTTTAACTCTTTGGTGTCTGTGCTCAAAGGACTGCCTTCTCCTTCAGTGCCCAGTATCTGAGTGTGTGCCCCCTCCCCTCCTTTCACCCTTCATTTGCTGGATGCAGCCCTCTCCCCTGAGTCTCAGGGGAGACTCATCCGCCTCCCTCCCTGTCCTGAGGATTCTCAACCCAACTCTGTTGATGTGAAAAATGAAGTGAAAAAATATTGATGAAAAATAAAAGGAAACTAATCTTTAAAATCCAAACTGGCTCTGCTTCTTTGCCTCTCCATCATTATTTAATGTCATCCTGCCAGACCAGGAAGAGTGAGAGCGGTGGTCAACAATTCCCTTCCCAAGCTGGAGGCCGGCCAGAATAACATGGCACACTTCCTAAGTTGGTCTTGCCGCTCTGACTTTTCCTTTCATAGATGTAAAATGTAGAATGTTTAAGAACACTTCTGTTTTTCCTTAAGAAACAAAACAGAACCAAATTTCCTCCAAATCTGATGTGCCTTTAAGAAACATATGATCTGGGTGCCTGCAGCTCATACCTGCAATACTAGCTGCTAATCTGAGGATCCTGGTTCAAAGCCAACCAGGATAGGAAAGTGCATCAGATTCTTATCTCTAATTAGTTACCCAAAATGCCAGAAGTGGAGCTGTGGCTCAAGGGGTAGAGCATTAACCTTGAGCAAAAAAGCTCAGGGATGGCACCCGGGTCCTGAGTTAAAGCCCCAGGACCAGCACAAATACACAAAGTCCCAAAACATTTCACCAATACGAAGTTCAAAAACATTTTTGCCTACACAACTGCCCTGTCCAGTTTCTACTTCTTTCTCTTCTCAGAAATACCATTCCTGTCTGATTTGTTTTCCTTTGAGTTCCAAGTAGGTCCTTAACCTCCACCTTAAAAAAAAAAATCTCTCTTGCTACCAGGGGTTTGAACTCTGGGTCCTGTTCTCTACTGGAGCTACCCTGCCTCCTAGTCCTACGAACCCTTTCTCTAGTCTATTGTATTACTGTCTGTTGAAGGGCTTGAACTGGGCATAGGAACTGCCTTGAGCTCTTTTGCTTCAAAGCTAGCGCTCTACTACTTGAGCCACAGTGCTCTCTACCAGTTTTCTGGCAATTACTTGGAAATAGGAGTCTCACAGACTTTCCTGCTAGGGCTGGCTTTGAACTACGATCCTCAGATCTCAACCTTCTGAATAGCTAGGATTAGAGGTGTGAACCACCAGCACCTGGCTTTTTTTTTTTTTTCCTGTTTCTCTCCCTGTAACCTTTGTAGCATCAATGAACTGGCATTAAGTACGCTGCAACATACCTCATAGGGTAACTTGTCTTTAATGTTTTAATAATCAGGAGAAGTGCAATTCCTTATGGACAATGTCACACGGAAAAACAAGCTACTAGAGAACATGTATGCCTCAACTGAATGGGGCCCAAGGGTCCTCATCATTACAAACCAAAGTGTTGAGGTAGTTCATTCTCACCCAGCCCCTTCAGATCCTGGTCCTCCCCATCTCTTAGGGGGCAGGGGTTCCTCGAGTTTTCTTGCTCCCACCCAAGCAGGGAGGGCTAGTGTCCAACTGAGGGTTCTCCCTCCACTGAGCGGGGGTGCGGGCTTGGATGGCCAGGGCATGGATGGGCCCGGCCAGCTCCTCCGACAACGCCTCGTGGACTAGCCGGTGCCGTTGCAGGGGGCTCAGTCCTTCGAAACGAGAGCTCACCACGGCCACGCGAAAATGCGTCTCACTGCCCGGGGCAACAGCGTGGCCGCTGCTCTCGTTGCGCAGCTCCAGCACCTCGGGGCTCAGGGCTTGTTGCAGCTTCGTGCGGATGGCAGCCTCGACCGGACCGATGGTCGCTGATCCCGCGCAGCCCCGGGACGAACAGACGCGGGTGGCCATGGGCACCAGGCGTCGAAGCAGCGCCACGCTCGGCATCCGCGACGGAGAAGGGAGGGCTGCTGGGAAGAAGTCCCGGTTTACCCTCCACCCTGGGTGCCCCCCATACACTCATCTCCCTTCACCTCCTCCCGGCTCCCACGGGGCGCCCACCCTGCCAGCCGGCAGGCAGACACGCGTCCCCGCTGCGGGGCCCTGGGGGCCGGTGACTTCCAGCTGCGGACAGGGGAACCGGGCACAAGTACCGTAACCGGCGCGCCAGGGGCGTGCGCTACCGCCGGCGCCGGGAAGAGCAGTCGGAGGAAGCAAAAACACAGCAGGTACAACCCTGTGCCACCCCCGCCCGAACCCCAGGGCGACCCTTTTCTACCTGCAGGCCAGCCTCCCTTACCTCAGCGCGGGTAGCCAACCTGGACGGGCTCTAGACGCCTCGAGAGACGCAGTCCTGACGTCCCGAGTAATTCCAGCGGCAGCTTGCTACGCGCCCGAGCTCGCGACCGGCACCACGCGATGCCGCGAGGGTTCATGGGAATTGTAGTCTCTGTTTCTCTCAACTCGAGGCGTGGCCTGAGGTGGTAAGTCTGAGTTCCTGCAGAGAGCTGCTCCATTGGGGTGGAGTTTAATTCCATCTATTTTTTAATCACACGTAGATATTTTAGCTCATCAATGCAATGCCTTACATTTTATGTACAAGAAAACACAAGTCCTTTGTATATTTTCAGTACCTGACTGTTGTGGGTCCCCACAGTTTTGTTTACTGGAGTAAAAAACAAAACAAAACAAAGCACCCTGAGTTTACACAACACTAGAGAAGTTAGAGGGCAGACTTTTGCTGTCGTGTGTGTGAAGTGCTATTATAAGACAAAGCATAGTTTTCTGAGGAAGCCTGTTAGAATTGGTGAAGAGAATTTCCAAGAGGAGATTTAGGCAAATAGTTCGATAGAGACAGCACAAAAATAAATTTCCTAGTCCTGTGCAAAAACGCTAGTAGTAGACAGAATATTCTTTTTTTTTTTTTTATTGGTCATGGGGCCTGAACTCTGGGCCTGGGCACTGTCTCTCAGCTCTTCAGCTCAAGGCTAGTGCTCTACCACTTGAGCCACAGTGCCACTTCCAGCCTTTTCTGCTTAGGTGGTGCTGAGGAATGGAACCCAGGGCCTCATGCATGCAAGGCAAGCACTCTACCACTGAGCCACCTTCCCAGCTCTGAGGAAGTTGTTTTATTGCTAGTGGATGGGATGTTCCAGAGGATCCTCTGTTCCAAATGGTCCTGTGTTCTTTGGGAGCAATGTGCAGATTAGGATGATACTGCCCCACATACAGCGAAAGAACCACAGAGAGCAGGACACCACAAGGATTTATGAAGATAGAAGTACAACACCTGGAAGCACAAGGTGGGCAATTGGGATAAAGACCCTTTCTTCCCCTGTTGATCCTCCCCAAATAGTTTGATGACAGAAGTGCCTGCCTGGGTGAGGACAGTCATCTGCCTGTGCGTTTGAGAGAGTGACGATGGGCTTTCAAGCCTGTTCACCCTTCCAGGTGAAGTCAATGGCGGGCCATATAGTGGTCCTTACTGCTCAAGGTACTTGTTTGACCTTGATATAAGAAGTGTGCTCCATAAGAGGCTGTAAGGGCTACTGTTTTAATCATCAGTCTAGAGTGTGGGCCATCTGGGATTTTCTAGTTTCACTTTTGTGAAGGAGAATGGACTCTGGTAGCATTGTTTTTGCTCCTACTCTTGAATAACTGTGTAATACCTTTAGTTTTTTTTTTTTTTTTTTTTTTTTCCGGAACGTTAGGGTGTAGTTATGTAGGGCTGGAGTCCAAGGGGGCAGGGATGCCTGTGAGTCAGTGGGCAGTAGCCAGGAGGAGTAGGGGCCAGATCTGTGTTAGGCTATAGTTTTGTTAGGTGACTTTGTCTTTATTAGGACCAGTGGGAAGCTAATGAAAGTTTTAAGCAAAGCTGTAACCAAGATGAGATTTTCCCAAGATAATATAATTTTAAATTTTATTTGATGCTCTTAATGTTTTACATTTTTATATCTACTAAATATTTTCCCCAAATTAACATTTTGAAAAATTTTAATGGGCTGTGTGAGGTGGCTCATGCACCTACAATTCTCATCTACTCTAGCCTAGCTCTGAGGAATCATGGTTGGCGGTAAGCCTGGGGGAAGATTTAGCAAGTTCCTATCTCAACCTATAAACTGGGCTTAGTAGATAGGCTGTGACCTCAGCCAGTAGAGAGGTGTAAGAAGGCGGAATGAAGTCCAAGGTCAGTAAAGAATAGGAGACCTTACCCAAAAATAAAGCTAGAAGGGCTGGGGCATAACTTAAATGGTAGAATGCCTATCAATCAAGAAGGCCCTGTACTCAAACCTCAGTAATTCTCCTAAAACAAACAAACAAACAACCCAGAAAGCAGGGCTGGGAAGGTGGTTCAGTGGTAGAGTGCTTGCCTTGCATGCATGAGGCCCTGGGTTCCATTCCTCAGCACCACCTAAGCAGAAAAAGCTGGAAGTGGTGCTGTGGCTCAAGTGGTAGAGTGCTAGTCTTGAGCTGAAAAGCCCAGGGACAGCGCCAGGCCCAGAGTTTGGGCCCTGTAACCGACAAAACAAAAACAAAAACAAAACACCAAAAACAAAACAAAAAACTAAAATTCAAACCCACCAAAAATTTGAATGCTAGAAGCAACACCTATTAGATCCACCAGTTTTATGTTTCATATATATATAGTATGAGGCAGGATGCATAGATAATCATATAGATTATTTTTAATATCAAAAGGGCCAGATTCAGAAGTTAAAGCCAGGAAATAAACTGAAAAAGTGGATTAGCTCTTGTTGCTCTTTGCAACCTTGAACAGTTTGATGGGATACAGGAGCCAAAGACATGAGAATAGACATAAACAGAGTAAGTAGACCAAGTGGGGGCCAAGGGACTCAAAGCACAAGAATCCTGAGTTCATGTAAGCAAGCTTATTTATTTAGTTTAGTACAGGGTGCATAAAACAAGGTTTCAACATATTTTGTCATTACATAAAAAGAAATAGAGCTTGTATACATAGTGATAACTGACTCTCTTACTGTCAGAGGGCAGAGAGATATAGTGACTGTAATGCAGATGTTTATCTTACTTCCTTTGTGGCAACCTTCATAGTCCAGTTCTCAGCCTTCTGAGCACTAGTGAGGTAGCATTCCAACCTCTTAATCCTTTCCAGATCTTATAGCTCAGCTTCAGAGTTCTCAAAAAGCTCTTCTTGCTCTTCTCTCACCAACTTTTTTGAGGTTACGTTATAAGATTAGTATAGGAGGGCTGGGAAGGTGGCTCAGTGGTAAAGCGCTTACCTTGCATGCATGAGGCCCTGGGTTCGATTCCTCAGCACCACATAAGCAGAAAAAAAAAAAAGCCAAAGTGGCGCTGTGGCTCAAGTGGTAAAGTGCTGAAGAGCTGAAGGACAGCACCCAGGCCCAGAGTTCAGGCCCCAAGACTGGACCCCCACCCAAAAAAAAAAAAAGATTAGTATAAGATTTGTTATAAGATTAGTATTAGATTAGTTATGATTAGATTAGAGGGGCTGTCTAAATCTTTCTCTATTGAAATATTAAAAATATAGTACTTGTTCCTGAATGGATAGATACAGAAAGAATTAAAGGGATATCTGGTAGAAGGAAGTCTGAAAGGTAACCTGGGTTTTTGGTAGTCCTCACCAATTTTATCCATCCAGAACCATTGTCTAAGGATTAGGAGTCACTACACTGACATGACCAGGTATATTCACCTAGCTCAATAAGTATAAAAGCTACAGACAGGAACAACAATTGAAAGATTAGGAACAACAATTGAAAGATTAAAAATTGACCATTACCATTACTAACTTGCTAACTGCTGATTCTGCTTCTGTAGACTTGCTTACGCTAGCATTGACCCTTCCCTTCCCAGAAATGAGTTAAGAAGTTTCAGGGACCAGATGCCGGCCCCAGGACAAGGTCAGTGGTCGTAGATAAAAAAACAGACAGTACGCGATCCTCAGTTCCCATTTAGAAATTCCCCAGACAGGACCTTGAGATAACAACCACCTGGCAAGACCACAAGCTAAGCCAAATGTCAACCAATCATAGGCCTGTAACCATGTAAACCCCCCCCCCCCCCCCTTAGACCAACCATGGGCCAGTCATTTTACAAAGAGTGTTACAAAATTTCCCGCGTGGCAAAGTGATTGTTGGTGTATATGGTGACCTTTAAATGGACCAATCATGGGATGCTTTGTGTTATGCGTTAATCTTGTGGTTTTTGCCTTTAAATTAGCCTGTAATCTCTGCTCGGGGCTCCCTGTCTGCTCGGGACAGAGAGTCCGTTTGCACAAATGTCAAATAAACTCCTCTTGCTTATTGCATCTCCCGGCCTGGAGTCTGAGTTTTCTGGGGTGCCCTCCCGTTGACGAAAGTATCCCAGGAGTCTAGGGTCTGTCACAATAAAATATAATTAAAATATTTTGATCCAGGACTACTCTAGGATGAAGTATTAAAAGCCTGCTAGTGCTGGGGGTGTGGCTCTGAGGTAGAGTGCTTACCTAATATGAATGAAGTCCTGGGTTCCATTCCTCATCACCCCATAAATAGAAAAAGCAGGAAGTGATGCTGTGGCTCAAGTGGTAGAGTGCTAGCCTTGAGCAAAAAGCTCAGGGACAGTGCCCAAGCTGAGTTCAAGCCCCAGGACTGGCAAAAATACCCCTAGCCAGGTAGAAGGACTAAATAAATTCAAATATGAAGACATGGGGGTCTTTCCCCAGAGTGGTTGTAGGAAGGTGAGTCCAATATTAAAAGAAAGTAGGGGAAGTGGAAGTGTGGCTCAAATGGTAGAGCTGCAGCCTTGAGTCATAAAGTTAAGGGGCAGTGTTTAAGCCCTGAGTTCAAGCCCCAGTACCAGCACAAATCCAAACCAAACCAAACCACAAAACACAAGAGTAAGCTGGGCACTGGTGGCTCACACCTATAATCCTAGATACTCAGGAAGCTGAGATCGCCTATAATCCTAGATAATCAGGAAGCTGAGATCTGAGGATCACAGTTCAAAGCCAGCCGGGGCAGAAAGTGCAAGAGACTCTTATCTCCAACAAACCACTCCCCAAACCGGAAGTGGTGCTGTGGCTCAAATGGTAGAGTGTTAGCCTTGAGCTGAAGAGCTGAGGTACAGCGCCCAGGCCCAGAGTTCAAACTCCACAACTGACAACAAACAAAAAAACGCAAGAGTAGCAAATGCTGTCACTAGGATATGAACCAAACATTGAGGGCACACAGAGCTTGTTTGTGTGGAAGTGGGGAAGACTTCATGTAAGGAGTGGTATTCGAACTGAAACTGGAAGATGAGAATTTTGCCAGGTCAAAAGAAGGATGAAGCACAGCATTCAGAAGCTCTTCTCATGAATGACCTGCAGTGCAGTATGGGATATAGTAGTAATGGGAGAAGTGGAGGGGAAGGGAGAAGACTATAGTTGGAATGGTGGAAAGGAGCTAGAGTGCAAAATAAATGTTTAATTGAACTGCCTGGGAAGGAACTCAGTTACCTCTAGTGAACAATCACACAGGTATCAAAGGAAATAAGATTCAGCCTGTTTGTGATGGTGTGTACTTTTACAAACAGCTTGTTTTATTTCCTTTACAATAGCTCTGGTAAAAATCCTGGGGAGGAAACTCTGGGGAGCAATAGACAGTAATTGAACCTGATGGATATTGGTCTATGTAGATATAGCTAATATGGCTTTGCATGGAATCTAAGATATTAATTCTAACACTCTCTTCTTCTCAGGGGGAAGAAAACAAGGCTGGATAACTTGTGACTTCATTAAACCCAACATCCAGTTAGTGGAAGAATATGAATGAAGCAGTGAAGAACATATTCTTTGGATTTGGAAACCTGGGTTAATACGTGGCTGTTTTTTTTGGTTGGTCTTGGGGCTTCAACTCAAAGTCTGGATGCTTGTTTTGCTCAAGGCTAGTGCTCTACCACTCTGAGACACTTCAGGTTTTCTGGAGATAAAGAGTTCTGTGGACTTTACTTCCTGAGCTGACTTTGACCTGTGATCCTCAGATCTCAGCCTCCTGAGTAGCCAGGATTACAGGGGTGAGCCACTGGTGACTGGTAGCCCTGTGACCTTTTTCTAGTGCTTCATTTCTTATATTCTCAGTTTATCTGTGAGGTAGACAGATGTCCTTGGTAGATAGGCTCCATCACAGATAGGATTTATCAAATAGTAAATTCAATATAATCTCTTTCTTTTATCCCTTTTCTTAGCACAGGGTACTGAAATAGAGGAAAAGAGAGACTACAGGACAGACTAATCTCTATATTAACTAATATTAACTAATTGAACTTCACATTTCACCAGGCTTTATTTTCTAGTGGCATCTAATCACAGACGTTTTGGGTTAATCTCTATCAGTATTCCCATTGCACAATATCACACCCAATAAATGCTGGTTGGATAAAGACCTGGAAAAAAGACAACATTAGAAAACAGCTCCAAGAATGTAATTTAATCTTATTCTTTTTTTGGGTCCAGTCGTGGGGCCTGAACTCTGGGCCTGGGCGCTGTCCCTCAGCTCTTCAGCTCAAGGCTAGCGCTCTACCACTTGAGCCCAGCACCACTTCCCAGCTTTTTTCTTTTTGCTTATGTGGTGCTGAGAAATTAAACCCAGGGCCTCAGGCATGCAAGGCAAGTGCTCTACCACTGAGCCAACTTCCCAGCCCAATCCTATTCTTTTTTGTATCAGCATTCTACCTTCTGTCCCTATAGAATTACTAAGGAAGGGTTAAAAACAGTGTGAGGAATGTAGAATGTTTATGGTTGAGACTTTGAGGAGGAAGAAACATAAGAAATTTCTGGAGGGGTGTGTGTGTGCCCACACCAGAACTTGAATTCAGGGATTTATGCTTAACTTCCTCCCTCTCACCCCACTCAAGGCTTGCCCTCTGTCATTTGAACCACACCTCCGCTTGCAGCATTTTGCTGATTAATTGGAGTCCACTCTCAGATTTGTCTGTCCCAGCAGGCTTCAAACCTCAATCTTCAGATCTCAGCCTCCTAGCTAGGATTACAGATGTGAGCCCAGGGCAAGGGCTGGAAAGATTTAAGGGAGAAGGTGTGTGCGTAGAGGTTCTTACTAGCCTTTAGAGTCTGGAGGCGAAATTCCCCCCTTGGGGGCTGGTGCTAAAATCTGAGGAAGGGATATTTAGGCAGACAAACAAAGTATATTAAGTAACTAGCCAGTTTAGTAGCTTCTGGCTTTGGTATCTGGAAATTTGTTAGTGCTAATCTCGGATGGAAGACTGTAGAGGGTGGAGGGCTTTTGCATGATTTACATTAGAATGCTTAAGCAGCTTGTTGATAGATGTGCTAGCAGTGTCCAACAGTCAACAAATTTGGATGTTAGCTGTCAGTGGGTAAGTTGCTTAGGGAGGTGTGAAGAGGTGGGGATAAAAGGACAGCATTCTTCTGGGATCAGGGATTTAGAGGTGGACAGATTAATAGCAGAATTAAATAAATGCAGGTGGGGGAAAAAAAAAAACAGGATGACATTTCAAAAGTCGAGGGAACTGGGGCTGGGAAGGTGGCTCAATGATAGAGTGCTTGCTTGTATGCATGAAGTCCTGGGTTCGATTCCTCAGCACCACATAAGCAGAAAAAACTAGAAGTGGCGCTGTGGCTCAAGTGGTAGAACGCTAGTCTTGAGCTGAAGAGCTGAGGGACAGCGCCCAGGTCCGGAGTTCAAGCCCCACGACCGACCAGAAGACAAAAACTAAAACAAAGCCATACCTTCGATGGAAGTGGTCATCCAGCTACTTGAGACCTGTAGTCTTTATGATCCGCCTTTGGATTTTTCTGCTTTAAGATGGAGACAAGAACCCTTCTGAGGCACTACAAATTGACACTCAGTAAAAGTGTTTGTGTGTTTTTTTTGTTTTTTTTTTTTAAAGAAACGTTTCTCTTTAAGAATTCTTCATGCAAATGAGGAGCTTTAAGGTGGCTTTCAGCGATTGGTGAGAACTTTTAAGATGCGTCATTTCCGGGTACCGCAGGATGCAAACGGGAGGGGGGGGTCACCTTCCTTCCTGCTTTTCTATTGGCTGGCCCTGCTCCTCTTCTAGCCAATTAGACGTCTCCCCTTCACCCCTCCTGGTAGCTCTTATAAATTACATCAAATTGGTTACCCTTTGCACACCCTTCTCCTTGGAAAAAGCTGTTACAGCATTTTTCCCCCCCTTTTGGCCATGTCAGGGCGCGGGAAACAAGGAGGCAAGGCCCGCGCCAAGGCCAAGTCGCGGTCTTCCCGCGCCGGCCTGCAGTTCCCGGTGGGGCGCGTGCACCGCCTGCTGCGCAAGGGCAACTACGCGGAGCGGGTGGGCGCCGGCGCGCCGGTGTACATGGCGGCGGTGCTGGAGTACCTGACGGCCGAGATCCTGGAGCTGGCGGGCAACGCGGCCCGCGACAACAAGAAGACCCGCATCATCCCGCGCCATTTGCAGCTAGCAGTAAGAAATGACGAGGAGCTCAACAAGTTACTTGGAGGTGTCACCATTGCCCAAGGCGGCGTGTTGCCTAATATCCAGGCTGTCTTGTTGCCTAAGAAAACGGAGAGTCACAAGCCGGGCAAGAACAAGTAATTAAGCTCGGCACTACCTCTTATTTACTCAAAAGGCTCTTTTAAGAGCCACCAAAGCTTCGGATGAAGGGCTGATCACGATAGCGTATTAGCTCTTTTTTGAAGACTTGGGTGGCTCTAAAAAGAGCCTTTGGTCTTTGGTTTATTTTGGCATCAGGATCACTTGCTTTTGGCCTTATGGCTTTCGGTTTTCTTTGGTAACAGAACGGCCTGGATGTTGGGCAGCACGCCGCCCTGCGCGATGGTCACTTTGCCCAGCAGCTTGTTGAGCTCCTCGTCGTTGCGGATGGCCAGCTGCAGGTGGCGCGGGATGATGCGGGTCTTCTTGTTGTCGCGGGCCGCGTTGCCCGCCAGCTCCAGGATCTCGGCCGTCAGGTACTCCAGCACCGCCGCCATGTACACCGGCGCGCCGGCGCCCACGCGCTCCGCGTAGTTGCCCTTGCGCAGCAGGCGGTGCACGCGCCCCACCGGGAACTGCAGGCCGGCGCGGGAAGACCGCGACTTGGCCTTGGCGCGGGCCTTGCCTCCTTGTTTGCCCCGGCCAGACATGACAGAAATTAACAACTCAGAACCGCAGCTCACAATTTCACAGCAAAATAGGATTTAGAGAAAGCCAAGCCTTTATAAGCTTTCCCAGGGGTGGGGTTAGGAACCGGCTTTTCATTGGTCTCAATATGATTGCAGAAACGGCCAATAATGTCCAGAGTCGTCCTTGTTACGTAAGTTTAGTGGGGGCGGGGGGAAGAGCAACGTTTCTACAATAGCCAATAGAAACGAGAGACTTTTTGAAGCCTGATTTACATAAGGTAGTTATAAAAGGATCAAGCCCGCCCATCCTCATACTTCTTTTCCCCTCGCTAACCTGCGTTAGTGTTGTTTTTGCTTTTTGTCTGTCTTATTTCTTAAACCATGCCTGAGCCGGCCAAGTCCGCTCCGGCTCCTAAGAAAGGATCCAAAAAAGCCGTCACCAAGGCGCAGAAGAAGGACGGCAAGAAGCGCAAGCGCAGCCGCAAGGAGAGCTACTCCATCTACGTGTACAAGGTGCTGAAGCAGGTGCACCCCGACACCGGCATCTCGTCCAAGGCCATGGGCATCATGAACTCGTTCGTGAACGACATCTTCGAGCGCATCGCGGGCGAGGCGTCGCGCCTGGCGCACTACAACAAGCGCTCGACCATCACGTCTCGGGAGATCCAGACGGCCGTGCGCCTGCTGCTGCCCGGGGAGCTGGCCAAGCACGCCGTGTCCGAGGGCACCAAGGCCGTCACCAAGTACACCAGCTCCAAGTGAGTCCCTCCGGGGCTCGGCGCGCAGCAGTCGCTTTTTCCTAAAGGCTCTTTTCAGAGCCACCCACCTATTCACCAGAAAAGAGCTTTACTCAGGTGTATTTCCTTAACGTGCTTTTTGCGAAGTAAGTTGTTTTCGTGTAAGGGCCCCGCCTGATAGCACACATAGCCTAATACATGAGAGAATCTGGAATCCCTGGCGCTTGAGTGGGTCTCCCTTTTAATCTAGAGCGCGTCTTATTTTCTTGTGCTGCTTAGCTTTCTTGTCGGAATCTTGGATGCTGTGTGTTCACTTCTTCCTTTCCACTCCCCCATCGCAAGACTGGTGACCCAGGAGGCTTTGTTGGGGTGTGTTTTATCACCGTCAAATGAGATACTGGGTTCTTGGGCCACGATTTACAGATCCTGGGACAAATAGATCCAGTGAGACTGGGACGGCCCTGTGCCATTAAAGCTTGACAGTCGGTTGGGTGCTCCCTGGCTCCTGGGCCCGCGGTTTTGGGTTCTTGGGGGCAGAGCCCGCCCGGGGCGGGGGGTGCCAGTCCTTTCCTGATTGGGTTACATGAAATATTTAAAAATCCGCGCCTCTGTGAGTGTGTAGACTGATTACCGCTCTCATTGGGGCGTTGAAATTCTTGACTCTTCCACTTCATGTTCTGAAATGCTGTGGCGCCAGATGACTGCAAAGCACTGGTCCAAAGTCATGTCCAAGAGACCTTGCCTGTCCAAGCCTTCCGTTCAGGAATTCACATTTCTTTTCTGTCTTGTCTTTCTAGCAGCTGTCTGAAAAGTGGTTCATTTGCTTTCTCGTTCCTCAGGGTTTTTCTGGTCAAGCCTTTTTTAAGGCTTTGCTGGACTGTTTATTCTTTGTATCTTTAGTGCCAACGAGTGCATAGTGGACACATAGTACTTATTGAATGTTTGCTGAATTAATTTTTCTGCCCATTCCTTTCATAATTGCTTGTGGATTGAGGGTCACTGTTCAATTCCATTAGATGTATGTGAAGACATGAAAAATGGAAATGTTTTTGGAGCTCCTAAAAAAATCAGTCCTTAATCACCTTTTTGCAGTAGTTAGGGTGGAGGAGCTGTATTGATTTTTTATTTTTATAAAAATAAAAAGAGATGGAAATAGGTCCTCCTTTCATTTTTCTCGTCTAGAATTTAGAGTATTCTTTTTTCTTTTTTTTGTATTTTCATTATATTGGCCATTGGAAAGAACCTTCTTTTATAACTTTCCCTCGTCTTGATTTTCTTTTCTCCACTGAGATAAGCTTTTAAATTACAATCACCACCTCATTTGTTTTTCAAAGGGTCTGCAAAATAGGCTGGAACTCGGCCTGGGCACTGTCCTGGAGCTTCTTTTGCTCAAGCCTAACACTCTACCACTTGAGCCACAGTGCCACTTCTGTCTTTTTCTGTTTATATGGTACTGAGGAATCCAACCCAGGGCATCATGCATGCTAGGCAAACACTTTACCACTAAGCCACATTCCCAGCCTGGAGCTAATATCTTAGAGATATTGAGAAAAAGTATGTGGTTGGTTGGTAGACTGATTCTGCAGCCAACATGTAACAAAGTAATTGTCCTACTTTTTGTATCTCAGGCGAGGACAATTATGTGTGTGTGTGGGGATGGGGGGCTTGGAATTGAATCCAGGCTCTGTATATGCTCTACCACTTGACCCACATCCTACAGATTTTTTTCTTTAATTTTTTTTTTAAATTTTGGGACCGGTCGTGGGCCTGAACTCTGAGCCTGGGCGATGCCTCTCAGCTCTTCAGCTCAAGGCTAGCACTCTAACACTTGAGCCACAGCGCCACTTCCGGCTTTTTTCTTTTTGCTTATGGGGTGCTGTGGAATCGAACCCAGGGCCTCAGGCATGCAAGGCAAGTGCTCTACCACTGAGCCACTTTCCCAGCCCCATCCTACAGATTTTTCAGGAAAGGAATTTCTGTCCAAGCCTTGCTTTCTGTCTCTGCTCAGTTGTTCAACTCAGCTTTGGCTCAGGGCTTTTATAGTTGATTACAGGGGGTTTCATGAATCCAAAGCCATTGTCACAGACTGAGTAAATTGTGTTTATACACATGTATTTTCTTTTTTCTCTCTCTTTTTTGGTTGGTCACGGGGCTTGAACTCAGGACCTAGGCGCGGTCCCTGAGCTTTTTCACACAAGGCTGTGCTCTACCACTTTGAGCCACAGTGCTATTTCTGGTTTTCTGGTTAATTCTATGCAGGTAAGAGTCTTAATGGAATTTCCTGCCTGGGCTGGCTTTTAACCATGATCCTTAGATCTTAACCTCCTTAAGTAGCTAGGATTACAGTCATGAGCCACTGATGCTACTATTTATTTTGTTGGTCATGGGGCCTGAACTCTAGGCCTGGGCGCTGTCCCTCAGCTCTTCAGCTCTAGGCTAGCACTCTATTACAGCGCCACTTCCATCTTTTTCTGCTTATGTGGTGCTGAGGAACGGAACCCAAGGCCTCATGGATGCAAGGCAAGCGCTCTACCACTGAGCCACCTTCCCAGACCCTGCACTTTATTTTATTTTAGTTTTTTCAATAAATGAAATGAGCAGCTTGGCACTGGTGGCTCACCCCTGTAATCTAGCTACTCAAGGGATTGAGGATAGAGGTTTGAAGCTAGTCTGAGCATAAATGTCTGTGAGACTCTTATCTCCAATTAACCAGCAAAGAGCTGGAAGTGGAGCTGTGCTCAAGTGGTAGAACACCAGCCTTGGGCAAAAAAGCTAAAAGGGACAGCATCCCTTAATACTGGCGCCAAAAAAATGGTAACATATACAGCCACCTATGGTTGGGTCTTTGGAAAAGCTGTAGGAAGAATATTTGTAAGCCATCAATCCTGAGTTTGATGAGAGGACAGGGCTATTTCAGGGATTTAAGTGATTTGTTTAGGATTTTAATCAAGAGGCAGAACTGCAGTTTAAAGCACACTCTGTGTGTGTGTGTGTGTGCCACTAATGAGGCTTAAGCTTTAAACTCCAGCTTGGGTGCTGTCTAGGTCTCTTTTGCTTAAGACTAGCACGCTACCATTTGAGCCACACCTCCAGTTCCAGCTTTTTGTGATAAATTAGAGATGAATCTTTGATTTTTCCTGCCCAGGATTGCTTTGAATTTCAATCCTCAGATCTCAGCCTCTTGGGTAGCTAGATTATGGGCGTGAGCCACCAGTGCCTGGCTAAAGTCCACTATTTATTTATTTATTTATTTATTATTATGTTTTTGGTCCAGTCGTGGGGCCTGAACTCTGGGCCTGGGGCGCTGTCCCTCAGCTCTTCAGCTCAAGGCTAGTGCTCTACCGCTTGAGCCACAGCACCACTTCTGGCTTTTTTCTTTTTGCTTGTGTGGTGCTGAGGAATTGAACCCAGGGCCTCATGCATGCAAGGCAAGCACTCTACCACTGAGCCATCTTCCTAGCCCTAAAGTCCACTTTTTCTTTTTTTGTTGGTCCTGGGGCTTGAACTCTGGGTGTGGGCACTGTCCCTGTGTTCTTCAGCTCAAGGCGAGTGCTCTACCGCTTGAGCCACAGCGCCACTTCCTAAAGTCCACTTTTTAAAAGCTGGATACTCTAAGCCCTTCTACAGTCTCCTTTTTTTGAGGGAAAAAGCCGCTCTCAGTGCCCTTCAGCAGCTGTGCTGTAACCCATCCCCCAGGGCTTGCTTAGCATCCCAGAGAGCTCACTGTCTTCCCTCCCAACCAGCCTCCTCAGCAGACAGCTGGGAGGCTCCACACTACTTCCTTATCAGCATTTCTGGATACTGACCTTTTCCTTCCTAGTCTCCTGTTCCTGGAAAATCACCTAAACCACTCCTGTCTAGTTGAGCTCCTCATGCCTTTAAATCAAACTAACAATACATCTTGAGGGTGGACTAAACTCAGGGGCAAAGGAGATAAGAGGAGACAATCCCACCCCTGACAGGCAAAATGGACTGATTCCTGGGTCCTGCAGTTCTATTCTGGGTGACTTTTCTCTTATTTTGCAATAAACTTTTTGTCCTCAAGTTCCTTGCCTTTATTTCTACATGCTCCAGAGAACAAAGATGCACCACCCATTTGTGTATCATTTTCCGTATAAGTATTCTACTGTATAGATTTTCTGCTGTAGTCAAAATAATTAGTTCCCCCCCTCCCTCTAAATCCATATTCTTTTCCTCAAGACTGGGCTGAATTTCCCCTCCCTTTTGGCATGTCCAGAGCTTTCTTTTAATCCAAGGGCATCTTTTCAAAGTACAGCTTAAATGCTATATCTTTATTTCTCATTTCTTCATATAATTAAAAACAAAACACAATTTTACATATACTTGGTATACAATAAATCACACATATTTAAAGTATAATTGGCTGTTTACACATACATATACACACACACACACACACACACACACACACATACAAAACAATAAAAATAAGGAGCTCTTCAGTATTCTTAGTGCTTCTCCAATAATCTTTCTTTCTGACCCCAAGTTCTCAGGCAATGATTGATTTATGTAGTTGTATTTCAAATTTTCTTTTTTTTGTGTGTGTGTGTGGGGTCCGGTCGTGGGGCCTGAACTCTGGGCCTGGGCGCTGTCCCTCAGCTCTTCAGCTCAAGGCTAGCACTCTACCACTTGAGCCACAGCGCCACTCGGCTTTTTTTTTCCTGCCTATGTGGTACTGAGGAATCGAACCCAGGGCCTCATGTATGCAAGGCAAGTGCTCTACCATTGAGCCACCTTTCCAGCCCCCAGTGGTGCTTTCTAATACATTCCAATTTGGTATTATATAATTCCATGGAGGAACACAATAAACTTCTCTTTTGTTTCTTTTTTTTTCCTTCCTTCCTTCCTCCTTCCTTCCTTCCTCCCTTCCTCCCTTCCTCCCTTCCTTCCTTCCTTCCTTCCTTCCTTCCTTCCTTCCTTCCTTCCCTCCTTCCTTCCCTCCCTCCCTCCCTCCCTCCCTCCTTCCTTCCTTCCTTCCTTCTGTCTGAACTCAGGGCCTGAGTGCTATTCCTGAGCTTTTTCTGCTCAAGGTTGGTGCTCTGGGGCTGGGAAGGTGGCTCAGTGGTAGAGCGTTTGCCTTGCATGCATGAGGCCCTGGGTTTGATTCCTCAGCACCACATAAGCAGAAAAAAAAAAGCCGAAGTGGCGCTGTGGCTCAAGTGGTAGAGCGCTAGCCTTGAGGTGAAGAGCTGAGGGACAGCGCCCAGGCCCAGAGTTCAGGCCCACGACGGGACCCAAAAATTTTTTTTTAAAAAAAGGTTGTTGCTCTGCCATTTGAATCACAGCTGCATTTAATTTCAGTTTTTTGCTGGTCAACTGGAGATAAGAGTCTCATGGACTTTCCTGTCCATGCTGGCTTCCTACTGCAATCCTTAGATCTTAGCCTCCTGAGTAGATATAGGCATGAGCCACTAGCACCCATCCTGATTATGATTCTAAATCATAGCAGCAAAATACTTTCACATTTGTCCCATTTTCTTTTCTGGGTACTGCCCCTGAGCTTTTTCTGCTCAAGGCTAGAGCTCTACCACTTGAGCCACAGTGCCACTTCCAGCCTTTTCTGAGTATTTTATTTGAGATGAGAGACTCTTGGATTTTCTTGCCTGAGCTGGGCTTCAAACTGATATCTTCAGATCTCAGCCTCTTGAGTAGCTGGGATTACAGTTACAGTTATGAGCTACCTGAGCCTAGCCTTTGTCCCGTTTTCTGGATTAAAAGCCAGTTCTAGGTTCTGGTTCTACTCAAAGGGAAGGGATTAAATAAGGATACCACAGGCCATTTTAGAATTTGGCCTATCACAGAAACATAAAGGGATTAAGGGCTGAAGTCAGATATTTTTCTGTGATTTTTATTACCTTTTTTATTTTTATTTTTTAAAAGAACGAAGAGGAAAAATCCCAGGAAATAAATGCCTGCAACGTGTCAGTATTACAAACACAATTTCAAATCCTGCAAGGTCAATGTTATGTTTTTATTTAACAGAGGAGGAAATTGAAGGTCAGATCAGACAGTTCAAATAACTTGGCATTTTTCTTCCAGCATGACACATGACATATTGTTTCCGAACCAGCCCCCAAATTTAAATTCTCTCTTTTACAAAGGAAGATGCTAATATTTATACTGTTGGAATAACGACATTATTGAGTATACTCCAATACTGCTGACTTTTACTAAAATATTTGTCTACAATTTGCAGATTATGTCAGGTGTGGTGGCACTTGGGAGGTGGAGGCAGGAGAATCCTGAGTTGGAGGTCAGTCTGGCTTACCAGCTATTACCCAATAGCTGGTAAAGTACTTGCCTAGAAAGTACAAGGTCTTAGTTTAATCCCCGTCACTGAAAAAACAGTTATAAATTACAACTAATCTGAGGATCTGTTAATACATTGGCCTTTATGCATTTCATAGAACTACAGACTATTATTGCCATACAGTACACAAAAATTATAGAGTCCAATTTCCTTATTACATTTTCCTCCCCTCTGGTTTGAGATAAAATGCTCTGCCTATTGTTCCAAGAGGACTGTTTCTGGGCAGCCTCTGCTTCCTCTGGGCAGGTGGGAGAAGCCAGTTAAGTCTTCAGCTCTACCTCCAGCAGTGTCCTGGAGTGGCCTGAAATGAGCGCTTCATCAGCTCCTCCTCCCAGGTCCCTGTCCCCATAGAGGTGGCACTCCCTTCCCAGACACCCAGACAGGAAGGTCCAGAGTCATCTTTGATTGCTTTTTGCCTCAACAGCTCTGCTCTGCCTTACCGTCCAGGTTCAAACAAGCCTCTGTGTGCAACAGTCAGTTGTACTCCTGCTGCCTGTTTGCTGTGGCTGGTTCCCAGCTCTCATTCTTAGTGCCCTTATCTTTGCCACCAAGGCTAGTTACTTGGCTTTTGAGGCCTTGGATGCCTACTTGATTCCTTTTGTCCCACCACTGAAGGTTGACTTACATATTTTGCCAACTACCTATTTAGAATCTTGGCTACTCCATGTCTCTAGATATTTTCTCCTTTTTCATTTGGAAATAGTTTTTGCAAATGTAGTTAGTTAATGACTTTGTGTGTGTGTGTGTGTGTGTGTGTGTGTGCATACACATTGCACGCACGTGTGCAAGTCCTGGGGCTTGAACTCAGGGCCTGAGTGCTACCCTTGAGGCAAGCATACTACCACTTTTGGCTTTTTTGGTGGTTAGAGAGAAGTCTCACGAACTTTCCTTCCTGGATTGTCTTTGAATTGTGATCCTCAGATCTTAGCCTCCTAAATAGGTAAGATTACAGTCATGAGCTGCTGGCACCCAGCAATCAAGGACTTTTAAAATGAAACTATCCTGACTTTAGGGTGGCCTTTACATTCAATAACTAATGCCCTTAGAAGGGAGAAGGAATTTGGACCACAGAGCCATAGGGAAGAAATCAGTGTAGAGAGATGGTAGCATACTGGATTTATGCCACCACAAGCCAAGGAATCCTAGGAGTCACCAGGCAGTGAAAGCGACAAGCAAGGATAATCCCTTAGTCTTTGGATGGAGCATTTTAACTTGATTTCAGACTTCTGAGCTCCAAGTCTGAGAAAATAAGTTGATGTTTTCTGGGACTGTGTTGGACAGCCCTAGGAAATAAATCCAACATCCTTGTAGCTGCACAGAAATGACTTTTCCTTAAGAGCAAGCAGAGGCTGCCACTGCTGCTCCAAGCTCACAGTGAAGCAACCTGTGGTTTTTCTGCTTGGGATGGTCTGAATAACCCTACAGGTCCACAGCTAGAGTAGACCCACCATGTCAAGTAGAGCTTAGTACCACTTGCAAAGAAAGGAGATGCTTTTTAGGAAATTCTAGGGTAAGTTAAACAGGTTTTTCAGGCCCATGAAGGAGATGCTCTGCAGCCAGAAAAGGATCACCATAGATCTCAAGTCTTCTATTTCCCATCCCTCTTTTCTTTTTTCCCTGCCTCCCTCTTGCCTTTTAACTACACTTTATACTCTGCCCAAATAAGCAGTCTTTTGTGTCAGAATGGCATATTAATTCCTATCACTACTTTAATCAATTACCACAGTGATTTAAAACATAAACTTATTCCTTTGTGCTTTGGGAGGTCAGAAGTCAATATGAGTCATATGGGCCTAAGATGTGTAGCTGAAGGACTGGTTCCTTCTGGAGGTCCCAAGGAGAGTCAGTTCCTTGTCTCTTCAGCTTCTGGAAACTGAGGTCAGGTTTTGGCTCTTGGAAATATCACTCCAATCACCCTTTTTTTTTTTTTTTGGTTGGTCGTGGGGCTTGAACTCTGGGCCTAAGCGCTGCCCCTCAGCTCTTCAGCTCAAGGGGAGCGCCTACCGCTTGAGCCACAGCACTACTTTTGGTTTTCTAGAGGTTTTATTGGAGGTAAATAGTCTCATTGACTTTCCTTGCCCTGGCTGCCTTTGAACCGTGATCCTCAGATCTTAGCTTCCTCAGTAGCTAGGATTACGGGCATGAGCCACTGGTACCCGGCTTCCAATCACCCTTTCTAACTGGATGTCCTTTCTTTCACAAGACCCCAAATTGCTGGATATTCTTGCTCATACCTGTAATTAATCCAAGCTATTCAGGAGTCTGAGATCTGGGGATTTTGGTTTAAAGTTAACCCTGGCAGAAAAGTCCTTGAGATTCTTATCTCTGATCAGCAGCAAAACGCTGGAAGTAGTGGTATGACTCCAGTGGTAGAGTGCAAGCTGTGATCCAAATAGCCAAGCAAGAGCCTGTGGCCCTGAGTTCAAGTCCCAGGACTAGCACATGCACACAAATTTAATTCATGCAAGCTCTATAGCAGATGTCTGCAGAAGCAGGCCTGACCATTCTTCAATGGTCAAAGTCCAGAGGCTTGTCTGTATAGTAGCCTTGTAAAAGGGAATAAGAGGCAGGCAAGGTCTTTCTCTGCTCAGATGGAGAAACTTTTTTTCTGCCAAGGGCCATTTGGATATTGACATTATTTGTAGGGCATATGAGATTACCAATACAGGCAGCCAGGTAGAGCAGAAATGTTCCATCATTACCAAATCAATTCCCAAGGGCTACATGTTCTCTACTTTTGTCTCAAAGATTCACCTTTAACTAGAAACTAGAAAGACTAATTAGGGAGGCTGTTCTACAGCCAAGAGGGACCAGGCCCTGGATCACCCAAAGTTCCTCCTTTTGAGTTCACACTTTTATTCCTTAGAAGTGAGCTTTGGTGAATAAGCACTTCAATCATAGCAAGGGACAGAAAGGTAAGGGACAGAAAGGACCAGAAGGAGGAAGGTTAAGACTAAAATAGAGGCCCTTGATTACCTCAGCCATGGTATGTACAAGTTGTTCTCAAAAACCCCAAGGCCACAGGAAGGTCTTAAGTTGTTTGCCATCTTGCTTTGAAATTTGCCTTAGTATTTCCCCCACCCCCTTTTTTTGTTATTATAAAATACTAAGCCGGGTGCCAATGGCTCATGCCTGTAACCCTAGCTAGCTACTCAGGAGTCTGAGATCTGAGGATCATGATTCAAAGCCATCCTGGGCAGGAAAAAGTCTGATACTTACCTCAGTTAGCCCCCAGAAAACTGGAAGTAGCATTGTAGCTCAAGTGGCAGAGTACTAGCTTTGAGCTGAAGAGCTGAGGGACAGTGCCTAGGCCCAGAGTTCAAGCCCCAAGATTGGAAAACAACAACAACAACAACAACAACAAACACACACACAAAGATAAAATACTGGAAGCTAGATACTTTATAAAGATGTGTATTTGGTTCAGGATTCTGGTGGTGGGAGGGTCCACACATCGTGCCGACATCCTGGAAAGTTGGCTCCTGGCTATTACAATACAGTGGAGAAATGGAAAGGGCCTTAGGTCTTGGGCACAAGGGGCTGCCCCACTTTCTAGTTCTTGGTAGGATGAAATCACCTAAAAGAAGTCACAAGAATAAATGGTGTTAATAACGTGTGAACAAGCTCAGCTACAATTGGTAGAAATGACCAAAGGCAGGGATGAGAGGCACTGGGGATGACGGAGACATACTTAACATTGGCACCTGAAAAACAACCAGGATCAGAAGACGACTTCCCTACGCAGACCGAAGTGGAAGTCTAGGGAGGCCGCCTTGGGTGGGGTCTAGGTCCTGGGTACAAGCCCTAAGAACCGCCTTGCAGAAGGCAGAACAAGAGCCAACAAGCCCAAAGCTCCTCACAGCGTCTGGAAGCAGGCTTTACAAGTCGCCTGTCAGTTGAGAGCGCCTCCTCCCTCCCCTTTGGCCCTCAGTCCTCAGCGCCCTAGTTTCGAGGTGGCCGGCCCTAAATGGGCTCCACTGAAAAAGCTGTTTGGATTACCGACACTGCAAACGGTGAGACCCGTACACACCCAAACTCGACAGACAGACACACACACAGACTTATGATCTCCCAAGAGCGAGACAACCCATCGAGGCACAGTTAAAAGTGACAATTTTTTCTTTTTGATTTACACCAGAAAGGGGGCCTGCGACTCCCTTGTCCTGGGCTAGATAACCGAGAACCAAGAACAGCTTCGACGGCCAAACCTCCAATGGGCAGGCCCGACCTTTGTTAGTTGTTCTGCAAACCTCCAAAGCAGAAGGCTTATCCTTTTCCGCCCTCCTCTGCAGGCCTAGACAGAGGCCCCAAATAGCCGCTGGAGGCTGGCCCTGCCCTCGTCAGGCCTGCTGTACTTATTCCGGCAAACTCAGCAACTCAAGTCCGTCTTTCTCTATCCTACGCCCCTCAGGACTCAGACCCCGCAGCCTCTACGTGGCCTGCGCCCGTTCTCCTCCGCGGACTGGCCTGTGGGCGGTAACGTCAGCCTGGGAGGCTCCTCCCCATCCGGTAGCCCGGATCTGTGGAGCCGTGAGGCTTGCGCCTAGGTGTCCGGCCCCTCCAGCAGGCCGGGCCTAGGGCCAGGAGGATTATCCGGGCCTCCGGCTGCAGCAGGCAGGGAGAAGGCACGATCCCTTTGCCTGTTATCTGCAGGAACCACCACAGGGAAAACACTGGTTAACTGCGAATACTATGTTATATGGTGGGGGGGGGGGGGGACACACACTAACAATCAACAAGGCCACAGCTCCTTCCGAGGGCCGGGTGGGTGGCTCTGAAAAGAGCCTTTGGATGCGATGGAACTTGCCGAGGGCCGCCGGGTGAGCTTAAGCGCGCTCCCCGCGGATGCGGCGGGCCAGCTGGATGTCCTTGGGCATGATGGTGACGCGCTTGGCGTGGATGGCGCACAGGTTGGTGTCCTCGAACAGCCCCACCAGGTAGGCCTCGCTCGCCTCCTGCAGCGCCATCACGGCCGAGCTCTGGAAGCGCAGGTCCGTCTTGAAGTCCTGCGCGATCTCGCGCACCAGCCGCTGGAACGGCAGCTTGCGGATCAGCAGCTCCGTCGACTTCTGGTAGCGCCGGATCTCGCGCAGCGCCACGGTGCCCGGCCGGTAGCGGTGCGGCTTCTTCACGCCGCCCGTGGCCGGCGCGCTCTTGCGGGCCGCCTTGGTGGCCAGCTGCTTGCGCGGGGCCTTGCCGCCGGTCGACTTGCGCGCCGTCTGCTTCGTGCGGGCCATGGCGACGGCGACGGTCTCAGAAACACACGGCACAAGCGCGCAGACAGAAACGGACGGCAGGCTACCCTCGCTGCACACTTTATAGGCGACGTTTTTTTCCGATTGGGCGCAAGGCATTTGAAAGGCCCGCGCTGGCCGCCCATTGGCCGTGACGTCGCCCGCCCCAGCGCTCCCGGTTGGCTCTGGCAGAACGCGGACCGCCCCACCCCGTCCCCCGCGGCACTTCCTGCTCTCCACTCGGCCTGTACTTCCCCCGCACCGCTCCCCCAAAGCACCTAGTTCTCTATGGTTGTCCGGGTCCGAGTCCTTTGGGACCACCCACCGTCTATAGCTGGGGTGGTCTTCAGCCCGCCCTTCACCCCCCTGACAGCCCCGCCCCGCCTTCTGCCGGCCTACGCTCCTGTACCCCGAGTCCTGTGCGACCAGCGTCTGTAGCTGGGGTGGTCCTCAGCCCGCCCTCCGTCCCCCAGCCCGGAGACCTCGACTGGAGGGGGCCTCGGGGAGTGTGTTGTTGTCGAGGGGCCGCGGCGCTCCAAGACTAAGCCAGGGCGGGCGATGCGAGCCCAGCTCGCGCCAACCCGAGGCCCACGGTGGCCCCGGCACTAGGTGCAAGTGTGGGACAGGAGCTCCGGAAGCGCAGGGCGGGCGTGGAGGGAGACCAACGAGCGACCACAGTGGGCACGGACGCCCGCCGAGCGGCCGGCGGCCAACTTTCCCGCGAGTCGGACAGGAGGGGCCGTTGGGACGAGGACGCGAACGGACGCTCCGCACCCGCCTCCCTCCCGCTCGCCCGGCCCCGCACGCACAGGCGGACACCGGCTACTTCGCGTGACAACTCTTCATTTGAAACAGTGGGTGGCTCTGAAAAGAGCCTTTGATTTCGCGGCCACGAAGGAGCCTGGCGAGGGGCGCGCCGACCGGACCCGCCTCACTTGCCCTTCGCCTTGTGGTGGCTCTCCGTCTTCTTGGGCAGCAGCACCGCCTGGATGTTGGGCAGCACGCCGCCCTGCGCGATGGTCACTTTGCCCAGCAGCTTGTTGAGCTCCTCGTCGTTGCGGATGGCCAGCTGCAGGTGGCGCGGGATGATGCGGGTCTTCTTGTTGTCGCGGGCCGCGTTGCCCGCCAGCTCCAGGATCTCGGCCGTCAGGTACTCCAGCACCGCCGCCATGTACACCGGCGCGCCGGCGCCCACCCGCTCCGCGTAGTTGCCCTTGCGCAGCAGGCGGTGCACGCGCCCCACCGGGAACTGCAGGCCGGCGCGGGAAGACCGCGACTTGGCCTTGGCGCGGGCCTTGCCTCCTTGTTTGCCCCGACCAGACATCACTGCCGCCGCCGCACACTACCGAGCTCCGCCCTGCAACTGGGAAAAGTGCCGCGACCTCGCCCGCGCTACCCTTTTATAGGAAGAATGCGGATTGTCCGCGGAGCGATCTCATTGGCTAACGAACCATCCTGCCATGGAGACCAATAGGATGCCTCAGCCTGGATCCGCTCATTTACATAATCTCCTGCGTCCGGCCGAGGCTTTTTTTTTTTTTTGCTCATGGCTGGTGCTGTATACCCCTTGAGCCGAATCTTTTGCTAATTGTAGATAGAATATCAAGTCTTTTCTTCCCACACTGACTTTGAACCTCACTCCTCCAGGTCTCAGCCTTCTGAGCAAAATGGGATTATACAAGTAAACCACTAGCACTTGTCTCTGCCTTTGAACTCTTGATCTTCTGCAGTCTCCAGGTTCTGGGAATCTTGACATTTGAAGCCACCCTGGGCAGGAAAGTCCATTAAGTACCAAAGATTCTAGTAGTGGATCTGTGGCTCAACTGGTAGAGTGCTAAAAAGCTCAGGGACAGTGCCCAGGTGAGCTGAGTTCAAGCCCCAGGACAGGCACAAGGATCCACATGTACTACATGCTGGCATTCAAGAGGTTAAAAACAGTATCCGAATAATGCAAAGTCTGCTGTTAAGGTTGTTAGGAGTATTTTAGACTTTGCCAGAAAACCACGCGGACATCCAGGTACAAAGAATGAAGAAATGGTTTATTGCTGGTAAAAGGGCTGACAAGACCCTTCTCACAAGGGAAAGGAAGTGAGAAGTGCCGGTTATTGTCTTAGGTGACCTTTTATAACCTCCTGGATTTGGGGGAATCTCACTGCCTTTGTGGTCATAGCTATCTCAAAGGGGTACTCAGGGAAAGTGGGTAAGGGCTAATCATTTACACCTTTACTACATGGGCCTAGTGTTGCCTTGGGAAAGAGCATGTTAGGCTATGAGGGAGGAGGCTTCTGGACTAACAAATGTTGATATCTGTACAATTCCCTATGTTTGTAGTAGATATTTTATGGTCATCTTGGGTAAGGCCAAAAAGAAGAATTTCAAGAACCCAGGTCTGATCATTACAAGCTGTCCTCCAGAGAGGACAAGCAGCTAGTGTTGTTTAAATTGGGGGTGGGGAAGTGGTAGGCGCTTTGAGTTTACTGTTGAAACATGTGCCAAATACAGATGAGGTATTGGGTTCCATCCCTAAGACCCATCCCCCAAAATAAAAAAAAATAAAAACAATAAAAACACAGTACTTGTTTTCTTTCATGGAACCATTTATTCTCTTTCTCTCATTAAAAAAGAAGGGGCAAAGGTGAGTCACTTCCAGGCTACAATGCTTCCTTTAAATTTCTTTGATTATACATTATTCACAATATTGTGGGACAGTGATACTTAGCTAAAATCACAAACACATTTTAACCTTCACAAGGCCAATTTTCATTATCATGGTCTATAAAGTTTGTGAACTTTTATGAACTTTGACAACTATTTCTTCCAAATTGTCCTTGTGCTTAGTGTACTCTGTTCCCTTTTTCCTATTCCCTCCTTCCTTTCGCTGCCCTTTAGTTGTTTAGTTCACTTTCATCAATGTCCAGTGCAGTTGATGGACCCATTTTATTACCTATTTTCTTCTGATTCTGTGCCCTCCTCTTAGCTTCCCTCATATGTGCACATATACATACCCTGGGGTCAAGAACAAAGTCATCTAACAACAATATGGCACACTAAGAATAGGTCCTTTGTTTCTTGAGTCCTGTTTACTTTGCCATATCTCGTTGCATTTTGTATTTAAAATGTGCACATCAGGGAGACTATGCCATTTGTCTGTCTGGGCTTGGCTTATTTTGCTTAACCTGATGATTTGTTCTAGTTCCATTTCCCTGTGAATGCCATTATTTTGTTCTTTCTAATGGCTGTATAATATTCCATTGTATATAGATACCAGAATTTATGGATCCATTCATCTGTAGTGGGGCATCTGGGTTGTTTCCATATCATGGCTATTGTAAACAGTGAAGCAATGAACATGGAGGTGCAGGTTTGCTTGTATCCAGGTTCCTGTTGGTCAGGGTAAATATTAGCCTAGGAGTGGGATGGCTGGGTCGAAGGGGAGGTCTGTTTAGTTTTCTGAGGAAGGTACAGACTGCTTTCTAGAGTGGTTGTATTTGTTTACATTCCCACCAACAGTGCAGTAGGGTTCCTCTTTCTCTGTATCCCTGCAGAGAAAGGTACAGCATTTGTACCTGTTAGAATTTAGGATATAGGCCATTCTGACTGGGGTAAGGTGATATCTCTGGGTTGTTGTTGTGGTTGTTGTTTTGGATTGGTTTTTTTTGCATTTCCTTTAGGACCAGGGATGATAAACATTTTCTCAGCTACAATGCTTCTTATTTTAACAATGTTACAAGAGTCCCAGACTCAAACTTCTGGGTTTTAGAGGTCAGGTTCAGACACTAACCCCAATACAATCAAAGAGACAAAGAGGGTTCTACATTTTATTTTTTGCTGGTATTGGGGCTTGAATTCAGCTTCAAGTTCTCCATTTAGCTTTTTTACTCAATGCTGGCATTCTACCATTTGAGCCACACCCCCATTTCTAGCTTTTTGCCTCATAATTGGAGAAAAACTCTTGGGGATTTTTGTGCTCAGGCTGGCTTCAAAGTGTGAGCTCAGGTCTCAGCCTTTGGAATGTATAGAATGACAGGTGTGAGCAACATGTACCCCAGTTCCAGAAGAGATTTAAGTGAAGTGAAACAGGAACACCTCTGGAAGAGGTAAAGAGATTTCTGAAGCCATCTTCCCAGCACATTTGCTTTAGGTTGAAACAGAGGAAGAATTGGGTAAGGAAAGGTATGCATAATTCGTAAGTACACAGTCAGAAGGGTTCTTGTGGTCATAGGTGGCCTCAGGTGGTCAGGTAGCCCACAGTCTCAGGGGTAGAATTAGCATCATTGTTGCTTAACAAGTGTCCTGCAGAAGTCCTGATGTTCCTTTCCTTACAGAGGTTTCCTTGTCTCTGTAAAGACCTCACTGGATCAGTCTTGACACTGCTGATTTCCAAGATAGCTACAAGACTAACAGCTCAGAACAAAGACATACAAAATGCAGATCTTGCTTTTTAGTTCACGTAAGAGTCCCAAGAAGTAGTACTTTTTCACCCAGTCCTGAGCCTTGAATGCAGGGCCTAGGCACTGTTTCTGGGCTTCTTTTACTCAAGAGCAGCACTCTACCACTTGAGCCACAGTGCCACTTACGGATTTTTCTGTTTATGTGGTACTAAGGAATTGAACCCAGGGCTTCACGAATGCTAGGCAAGCACCTTACCACTAAGCTGCATTCTCAGCCCCCCCCCCTTTTTTTTTTTAAAGCAAAAGCAACCTTTTCAGTACCTGTTACAAGGTCCCACTTGACCAATTCTAAGATAATGAGCAAATTAGATCACCTTTGATCATAGGTGTCTATAACTTGGACTTAATAATTATGCATATATGCACCCCCAGTTATTTCTCCATTCAAACCTAAATCAGATGTCTATATGAGGGTGATGGGCTGAAGTGCTTGCTTGCTTCTTCCTGCATAGTACCCATGCTATATTAATAAGTCCCCGTTCTCTGTCTTTTATTATTGTCTCTTTATCTGACATATTGGGGTAAGGGGTGAGATATGACACATGGAGCCCCTTGGAGGTTTTGTTTTTTTCTTTTTGATCGGTCGTGGGGCTTGAACTCTGGGCGCTGTCCCTCAGCTCTTCAGCTCAGGGCCAGTGCTCTCCCGCTTGAGCTACAGCGCCACTTCCGGTTTTCGAATGGTTTATTGGAGATAAGAGTCTCACGCTATTTCCTGCCCAGACTGGCTTTGAACCGCGATCCTCAGATCTCAGCCTCCTGAGTAGCTAGGATTACAGGCTTGAGCCACCGGCACCCAGCACCCCTTGGAGTTAATTAAGCTTATAGCTTAAGATTCCAATTACACAATCACCAGTTTCCTCTCTTCAACAATACTTAAAAGGTTTAAATCAGAAATCTGGATTTTCCTTCCTCAACCCGACTTAAAATTCCAGTATTCCCTATAACAGCACAATTGTCTAATCAGTTGCTGAAGCCAAAACCTAGAGGTTTCTTATTTAAAATACCTAGTCCTCAGCAAAAGCTGCAATTCTACCTCCAAGGTATGATCATCAATACTCTATGTGCCTTCCCATACTACAATCAGTATGCTCCAATTCCCCATGCAGTCTACCCAGTGGTAAATGTTACTGCATGTTAGAATCCTCCAGAGCTTGTTAACTACTAAGACCAGAAAGCATCCACAAAAAAAAAAAAGTAAAATAACAAAAAGCCACCCTCAGATAACACTGGAGACCAGACTTCAAGAATCACTCTAGCACAAAACATACCAACACTCTCACCTACTATCTGGTTTTCTTGCTTCTACTATGGCCAGTAAAAAACAAATGCCACATAAAGTTACTAATCCTCCCTTTGTAAAGCTCAAAACAATCACTTGCCCTTGGAGCCTTCTGCTCCCAAGCATTCCAAACTCTACATTAATAAACCGAGGGTATTTTGTTGACACATTGCACAATCCTTAAATATAACAAGCTTAAGGAAAAGTTCATGGGAAAACTGTCAGCATATATGAAAGTTTGCGCAGCATTTCAAGCAGGAAAAAAGCTGAATTGTAGCAAGAGCTTGGAAAGAAATGACATAATCTAAAAAGACCACCACCCCTCCCACCTCCAAAAGTCCTCTATTTTACCACAGAAAACCACTGTCGCTTTCCCGCATTGGAAGCTTAGGATACAGCAGTCCATTAGCAACTCAATGTTATCTACTTAAAGAAAAAAAAATGAAAATAAAGGGATTAACAATATAGCCAAAAGAACACTGAATGAACCCTCCTCCCCCCCCCCCCCCATCCCCTGCACACTAAGAGCAAGGTAACAGCGCCTAGAAAGCTGTACTTACAGTGTCAACAGCTGGGAGAAACAAAGATTGTGCTATTTCACTAAAGACAACTAATACACCAGAAGGGCCGCTAAGAGACATACGCAAGGTTGCACAACTCCTTCCAATGACAAAGTGGGTGGCTCTGAAAAGAGCCTTTAGGAAAAAGCGACTGCTGCGCGCCGAGCCCCGGAGGGACTCACTTGGAGCTGGTGTACTTGGTGACGGCCTTGGTGCCCTCGGACACGGCGTGCTTGGCCAGCTCCCCGGGCAGCAGCAGGCGCACGGCCGTCTGGATCTCCCGAGACGTGATGGTCGAGCGCTTGTTGTAGTGCGCCAGGCGCGACGCCTCGCCCGCGATGCGCTCGAAGATGTCGTTCACGAACGAGTTCATGATGCCCATGGCCTTGGACGAGATGCCGGTGTCGGGGTGCACCTGCTTCAGCACCTTGTACACGTAGATGGAGTAGCTCTCTTTGCGGCTGCGCTTGCGCTTCTTGCCGTCCTTCTTCTGCGCCTTGGTGACGGCTTTCTTGGATCCTTTCTTGGGAGCCGGAGCGGACTTGGCAGGCTCAGGCATGGCGAGAAGCACCAAGAGAGAAACACAGAGCAGAGAAAGAGACAACGAACGGAAAGTGGGTGCACGCGGCAAATGAAAGCAGGCTTATAAAGGCCGTATGCAAATTAAGGTTCTGGCCACGCGGCTTTGTGATTCGCGAGGTTTCCCCGGCGTCTTGGCCAGACACAGATTATGTAAATGAGCGGATCCAGGCTGAGGCATCCTATTGGTCTCCATGGCAGGATGGTTCGTTAGCCAATGAGATCGCTCCGCGGACAATCCGCATTCTTCCTATAAAAGGGTAGCGCGGGCGAGGTCGCGGCACTTTTCCCAGTTGCAGGGCGGAGCTCGGTAGTGTGCGGCGGCGGCAGTGATGTCTGGTCGGGGCAAACAAGGAGGCAAGGCCCGCGCCAAGGCCAAGTCGCGGTCTTCCCGCGCCGGCCTGCAGTTCCCGGTGGGGCGCGTGCACCGCCTGCTGCGCAAGGGCAACTACGCGGAGCGGGTGGGCGCCGGCGCGCCGGTGTACATGGCGGCGGTGCTGGAGTACCTGACGGCCGAGATCCTGGAGCTGGCGGGCAACGCGGCCCGCGACAACAAGAAGACCCGCATCATCCCGCGCCACCTGCAGCTGGCCATCCGCAACGACGAGGAGCTCAACAAGCTGCTGGGCAAAGTGACCATCGCGCAGGGCGGCGTGCTGCCCAACATCCAGGCGGTGCTGCTGCCCAAGAAGACGGAGAGCCACCACAAGGCGAAGGGCAAGTGAGGCGGGTCCGGTCGGCGCGCCCCTCGCCAGGCTCCTTCGTGGCCGCGAAATCAAAGGCTCTTTTCAGAGCCACCCACTGTTTCAAATGAAGAGTTGTCACGCGAAGTAGCCGGTGTCCGCCTGTGCGTGCGGGGCCGGGCGAGCGGGAGGGAGGCGGGTGCGGAGCGTCCGTTCGCGTCCTCGTCCCAACGGCCCCTCCTGTCCGACTCGCGGGAAAGTTGGCCGCCGGCCGCTCGGCGGGCGTCCGTGCCCACTGTGGTCGCTCGTTGGTCTCCCTCCACGCCCGCCCTGCGCTTCCGGAGCTCCTGTCCCACACTTGCACCTAGTGCCGGGGCCACCGTGGGCCTCGGGTTGGCGCGAGCTGGGCTCGCATCGCCCGCCCTGGCTTAGTCTTGGAGCGCCGCGGCCCCTCGACAACAACACACTCCCCGAGGCCCCCTCCAGTCGAGGTCTCCGGGCTGGGGGACGGAGGGCGGGCTGAGGACCACCCCAGCTACAGACGCTGGTCGCACAGGACTCGGGGTACAGGAGCGTAGGCCGGCAGAAGGCGGGGCGGGGCTGTCAGGGGGGTGAAGGGCGGGCTGAAGACCACCCCAGCTATAGACGGTGGGTGGTCCCAAAGGACTCGGACCCGGACAACCATAGAGAACTAGGTGCTTTGGGGGAGCGGTGCGGGGGAAGTACAGGCCGAGTGGAGAGCAGGAAGTGCCGCGGGGGACGGGGTGGGGCGGTCCGCGTTCTGCCAGAGCCAACCGGGAGCGCTGGGGCGGGCGACGTCACGGCCAATGGGCGGCCAGCGCGGGCCTTTCAAATGCCTTGCGCCCAATCGGAAAAAAACGTCGCCTATAAAGTGTGCAGCGAGGGTAGCCTGCCGTCCGTTTCTGTCTGCGCGCTTGTGCCGTGTGTTTCTGAGACCGTCGCCGTCGCCATGGCCCGCACGAAGCAGACGGCGCGCAAGTCGACCGGCGGCAAGGCCCCGCGCAAGCAGCTGGCCACCAAGGCGGCCCGCAAGAGCGCGCCGGCCACGGGCGGCGTGAAGAAGCCGCACCGCTACCGGCCGGGCACCGTGGCGCTGCGCGAGATCCGGCGCTACCAGAAGTCGACGGAGCTGCTGATCCGCAAGCTGCCGTTCCAGCGGCTGGTGCGCGAGATCGCGCAGGACTTCAAGACGGACCTGCGCTTCCAGAGCTCGGCCGTGATGGCGCTGCAGGAGGCGAGCGAGGCCTACCTGGTGGGGCTGTTCGAGGACACCAACCTGTGCGCCATCCACGCCAAGCGCGTCACCATCATGCCCAAGGACATCCAGCTGGCCCGCCGCATCCGCGGGGAGCGCGCTTAAGCTCACCCGGCGGCCCTCGGCAAGTTCCATCGCATCCAAAGGCTCTTTTCAGAGCCACCCACCCGGCCCTCGGAAGGAGCTGTGGCCTTGTGCTCTTCAGTCCTCTGGAGCCGGCATTGGGGGTGGAGGGCTGTCCGGAGTGTCATCAGAGCCGGTCACAGTGCCTGCTTCGCCCGACTTCTGTTTCCATGCCCCTCACCTCCCTTCCCAACCGTCTAGGCCTCACCTGTGTCCTGGGGTTTGCCGGGTTTATCAGTGTTGACAGCTTGAGTGGAAGTGCCTCGGCTTTTCCCCCTCACTGTACAGTTGGGTGGAAGCATTTATTTCAGTGAGATAAGTGGAGACGTTTATCAGGATAAAACTGTCCTAAGGTAAGGGCTGGGAAGCTGGCTCAGTGGTAGAGCGCTTGCCTTGCATGCCTGAGGCCCTGGGTTCGATTCCTCAGCACCATATAAGCAAGAGGAAAAAAGCCGGAGGTGGCGCTGTGGCTCAAGTGGTAGAGCGCTAGCCTTGAGCTGAAGAGCTGAGGGACAGCGCCCAGGCCCAGAGTTCAGGCCCCACGCACGACTGGACCCAAAAAACATTAAAAAAAATGGTCATAAGGTAAAGCCTGTGACCTGTCCTGGGATGCACTGTCACATTTCTTGCATTAGTTTGTGGAGCATTTTCTGGGTGTCCAGCCCCTCACTTTTTGCTTGGGCTTATAATATGGACAGGGTATGTCGGCGTTCAAAGGAGAGATTCAGAGCAAGGCTCATGGCACTGCCTTTGCATCCTGCCTGTCGGGCCCAAGAATGTAGCCTGGAAATCTGAGGCAGTCCTCTCACCTTTGGAATTCTGCTTCAGAGAACTTTAGAGTTGGCACCTCTAAAACAGGTGTCAGAACTGAGGCCAGGCCTTGTCCATATCACAGGTATATAGCATGAGGAAGTAAATTTCTATAGAACTCATTTCCCATTTGTAAAATGTGGACAATAGTAGTACTGGAAAAACTAAAGGAATCCCTGTAAAAACACCTAACAGTGTCTAGTCTAGAACCGTCAGTTTTGCCCTACTAATAGTTGCTAATTTACAGAAATCTCAACAAGATGTATTGTGATATACATTAGTTTCTAGTGTTTCCTTCCTAGTTTCCCTAGATTTCAGAAGCTCTGAATAAGTATTTTCTAGTCCCACAAATCTGCAATTCTCAAATACATACTCTCTTGACAGTTGCTATTTTTTTTTTTTTTTGGTTCAACATGTCTTCCTCTCGTAATTCTGAGAACTGTTCATTCTTAAAGATTAATTCCTGAGTCTCTCCCTTTCTATTGTTTGGTTTTTATCCCTTTGGGTTCTTGCTTGTACCCCTTCCTATCTGTTCCACATTTCTTCCCATTCTCTACCTTCAGCATTAGGGGACAACATTCCTCAGGGTAAGGATTTGTCTTTTGTACCCAAACTGCCCAGCACACCATAGGTGTGTAAGATCAGGGAATTAGGATAAAAATAAGAAGAGAAACTAGTATTGGAGCTTTAAGCTGGTGGGTAGTATCAGAAATGTGTATGAAATATAGATGGATAACAAGAGGGTACAAAGCTGGGCTCTGGTGACTCACACCTGTAATCCCAGTTACTTGGGAGGCTGAGATGTGAGGATTGAAATTTGAAGCCAGTTTGTCAGGAAAGTCCATGAGTCTCTTATCTCAAACTACTCAGGAAAAATAAAAAGCTGTAAATGGAGCTGTGACTCAAGTGGTAGGGCACTAGCTTTGAAAGAATCTCTTGGGCTGGGAAGTTGGCTCAGTGGTAGAGGGCTTGCCTTGCATGCCTAAGGTCCTGTGTTCGATTCCTCAGCACCACATAAGCAAAAGGAAAAAAGCCAGAAGTGGTGCTGTGGCTCAAGTGGTAGAGCGCTAGCCTTGAGCTGAAGAGCTGAGGGACGGTACCCAGGCCCAGAGTTCAGGCCCCACGACTGGACCCAAAAAAAAAAAGAATCTCAGGGACAGTGCCATCAAAAAAGTGGGGGAGGGTACAAAAAGGAATGGAAGAGCAACAGCGGATGAGAAGGGCTGAAATGAGAACTGGAAGCTAGCTACTGCAATAAGCAGGAGGGACCAGATCTAGCTATGTACATACCTGGATGGGGAAAGGGCAAAGCTGGACTGTTGAGGCAAAAAGTAATCAAAGATGGCTCTCTGTCTCCTAGACTGAGAATCTGGGATGAGGATGCCACCTGCCTGGATAGAGGAGCTAGAGTTCACTAGGGCCATGTCTGAACAGAGCTGGCAACTTGGGATAATTTGAGATGGCTTCAATAAAAGACCCCTGGGGAATGAGTGTCTAAAACTGTGGATTAGGACAGGACATCCTATTAATGCTTATGAATCATCAGATTCATAACAAAGTTACGTTATTTCATATTTAAGGAATAATTTTATTCTGAGCCAGAGGAAAAAAAAATGAGAAAATTGGGCACCATTTCTTAGGTTCTTTGCAGTACCTAATTTTAATAAATGCATACTAAATTTATTATTGCACACCATGTTTGATTTGTAAATCTTAAATATATACATACATGTATCTTTAGTATGTTAGTTTTATTAGGATAGTTCACCTGGTTGCTCCTTCATCAAAGAAAATGAAATTTAGCATTTTGGTAAACTTGAGGCATCATGCCTTTGTTTTTAAAAAAACTTTGCTACATTTGAAGAAAAATTGTTACTTACATCAGTGGTTATCAACCTTTAATGTGTATCAGGATTGCCTGGAGGACTCAAACTTTTAAAGCATAAATTGCTAGGTGTGTAGGTCTTACTCCCAGGGCTTCTGATTCAATAAGTATGGGGCAGGTCCGGGCCCAGGATTTTTGTACCTCTAACAAGTCTCTTGGTGATCTGTGCTGCTATACTGGAATCCACTTTAAGGACCAATGACTTAGACAACAGACATGTTTTCTTCCCTCATTTAAAAAAAAATTTTTTTATTGTGAAAATACCGTACAGAGGGGTTGCAATTACATAGGCAGGGTAATGAGTACATTTCTTATCAAGCATTGTTGCCTCCTCCTTTGTTTCTCCTTCCCATCCCTTCCCATCTGCCTCCCCTCCCTCCCCCCACCACCACCCCACCACCCCAGCCAAAGTTGTAAAATTTGTTTTTCAACATTATGACTTGTACATCTCATTGTTGCAATGGGTCCACCTGGATCCCTATTTAAACGGTTTGTTTTTGCCCTTCCCCTCTACAAATTATACCAACATCAAATACAATGAAAGCAGGGGTTATACCGTGGGGGAGGGACATACAAAGCAACAAAGAAATCATCTTATAAATATGTTAGAAACAATCCCAAGAAAGAAAAAAAACATTTGAATACTTATCTTGGGGTTCATTTCACCTAACATCAACTTATCTGACCTTTTCTGCTTGTCTCAGACATATACTAGTTATTGCAAATAAGGGAAACCTTGAGACCTGTGTTTTTTTGGGCCTGGCTTACTTCACTTAATATAATTTTTTCCAAGTCTTTCCATTTCCTAACAAATGGGGCAATGTCATTCCTTCTGATGGAGGCATAGAATTCCATTGTGTATATATACCACATTTTCTTGATCCATTCATCTACTGAGGGGCATCTATCTGGGTTGGTTCCATATCTTAGCTATGGTAAATAATGCTGCAATAAACATAGTTGTGCTGGTAGCCTTAGTATGGTCTTGTTTGTGATCATTTGGGTAAATGCCCAAAGGTGGGATTGCTGGGTCATAGGGGAGCATTATGTGGAGTCTTTTGAGGAACCTCCATACTACTTTCCAAAGTGGTTGAACAAGTTTACATTCCCACCAACAATGCAGTAAGGTTCCCTTCTATCCACATCCCCTCCAGCATCTGTTGTTATTAGAGTTCTTGATTATAGCCATTCTAACTGGGGTGAGGTAGTATCTCAGTGTTGTTTTGATTTGCATTTCTTTTATGGCTAGAGAGGTTGAGCATTTCTTCATGTGTCTATTGGCCATCCTTCTTTCTTCTTCAGAGAAGTTTCTCTTTAAGTCCTTAGCCCACTTATTCCCTCATTTTAAAAATTGATTTGTCTTCTATATTTTGTTCCGTATTGCTTCATAGAACCTCAGTGAGATCATATATTTGTCTGCATGTTGCCTTTTTTTTTTTTTCTTCCAGTCCTGGGGCTTGAACTCAGGGCCTAGGTACAATCTCTGAGCCTCGCTGTGCTCAAGGCTAGTGATCTATCACTAGAGCCATGGAACCATTTCTGGCTTTTTCTGAGAAGTTTATAGGCGATAAGAACTTTCTTGCCTGGGCTGGGTTCAGATGGTGATCCTTAGGTCTCAGCCTCCTGAGTAGCTAGGATTATAGGCATGAGCTACCCGCACCCAGCTTGCATGTAGCCTTTAAAGTTAAAAAGTATCACAGTAATATGTGAATTAGAAATACTGTAAGTTTCAGGTGAGATTTTAGGAAAATGAGGCATCCTGAGTATAAGAAGCCTTCTTAGCTTGACATCATCAAAAATGTTACTCTTGTTCCTTCTTTCCTTACCTTCTGTATGATGTAATGGGATTCCAGGAGTTTTGCTCCCCCCCCCCCCCCCCCCGCCCCCTTTTTCCCAGACAGTCACAAGCCCCATCTGTTTCCCCAATTTCCCACTATGCAATGATTTCTACCACATTAGGAAGTTCCTACAGTAATTATCTGCATTTCTCATCATGCCAATATGTAGTAGCATTTTGTGCTATTGGGCCATCCTGTTGTGTGTGTGTGTGTCTTCCTAGTTTTATATAAGCTCCTGGAGGGCAAGTCTTATATCCTTTGCCTTGCTGGTATTTCCATTGTCAAGGACGATGTTTTAAACCTAGTTTGCCTTAGATGTTGATGTTGGTAAAAACCAAATGCAAAGACGTACTAGTTAGTCTTTTGGGAGCTGACATAGTATTTCAAGTATATACTGCCAATTTTTGGTGTCAAATTGTTAATGGAAAATCAGTGCAGCTACTCAAACCTTCCATTTGGTGAGAGAATTTAGGCAAGATGAGAATGTGGTGAAAATGACAAGAAAGTTTGTTGGGATGGAGAAAATATACTTTTCAAATATAAAGTGATTTATCTCTAGGGTGACCATGATTTTGTGTGTGTGTGTGTGTGTGTGTGTGTGTGTGTGTGTGTGTGTGTGTGTGTGTGTGTGTGTGCGCGCGCGCGCGGCAGTCCCTGGGCTTGATAGGAAAATGGAGGAGAATGGAAAACGAATAGGCTGGACTTGATTATCAACAGGCGAGGACTGTTTATTGAGGAACAGTGAGGGGCACAGACCTTTCCACGGGTTTGGAGGTTGTGCCAGAGAGTTGGGACAGGAGTTTTGATAGGAGGTCTGAGCAAGGAGGCAGAGGTGAATGAAAGCCACTAGGTCAAGGAAGGTGGGGCCTTTCAGTTGCGCCACAATGGGATGTTTACAGCTGGGCTCAGGTGGATTGCTCTGCCTGCACTTCAAAGGAGTTCACACATACCTGGGATTTTGCCTGTCAGTATGGGCCTGGGGCAATCCTTCAACTGGCAGAAAGTTCCTCCTATTGTCTGGCCTCAGTTCTTCCTGCTGTTGGAAATTTACTCTCTCCTCTGAACTCCTTTTTCCCTGGGAAAATATCCATGGGAACTAAAATGTGAAATCACAAAACAGAACAAGATTATTGATCAAGGGCAAAACCTCTTGGTAAAGAAAAAACAAAAAGCAAAAGAACATCTCTCCCTCACTCAAGTTTACCAAGCTGTCAGCTTTGCCGAAGGCTACTGACAACCTTGAGGTTTATCACCAGCTGCACTGAGTTGCTACTTTAGTCAGAAGCTTATAAAAATAACTTGTCATAGTGTCAATAGCACTGATAGTATTGATCATGCTGACCAAGTCAAGATTATGTTTTGTCTGTGCTCCTGTGACTCAAGGCTCTGTTTTTGCTATGTTTTACTCCTGTAATCTTGCTTGACTCAGTAACAGGGCCGTAAGCCCACCAATTAAAGACCACCACTGAGTGGTCTCACTATGGGAAGCCTATTGCAAATTATTACGTATGGTATTTACCATAAAGAACAAATAAATTTAAAATTCATATAACCAATGAAAATGTGTCAAATCTGCCTTGCATACCTTGTCTATATAACTCTGTGTAACCTATCCCTGTAAAAACCCCTCCTACCCTGAGCTCAACGCCCTTCTCCTACTTCCCGGTGATAGGAAGCAGAATAAAGTTCCTAGGTCCTTTAACTGGGTGTCTTTAAGACTCTTTTGGATCCAGGATATTATATTCAGGGCTAGCACTTTACCATTTGAGCGCACAGCTCCACACTTCTGGCTTTTTTTGGTGATTAATTGGAGTCTCATGGACTTTCCTGCCTTGGCTGGCTTAGAACCAGGATACTCAGATCTCATCCTTCTGAGAAGCTAGGATTATAGGTGTGAGCCACCAGTGCCTGGCTGGTTCTTGTTGTTGTTAAAACAGGGCATGCTTTATTGAAAAACAAGGGATTCGGAGTATTAAATTTCTCGGGACCAGACAGACTAAGGGGAAGTTATTGTCCTAAGGGTCGAGGAATTTTACTGAATTGTATTTGATCTCTAGGATACTGTTTACTGGCCCAGATGACAGATCTATTGTTTCAGAACTATGGAATAACCTGCCTAGAATGAAGCCTGTGCTTGGAGAGGGTTCTCAAAGACTTCTTGCTGATACTTTTTTGGAGGGGTCAGAGGGATGAGGGTGGGGTTGGTCATGGGGCTTGAATTCTGGGCCTGTCCTTCAGCTCTTCAGCTCAAGGTGAGCTACCACTTGAGCCACAAGCACCACTTGCAGTTTTCTGGTGTTTAACTGGAGTTGAGTCTCACGAACTTTCCTGTCCAGACTGGCTTTGAACCACGATCCTCAGATTTCAGCCTCTTGAGTAGCTATGATTACAGGTGTGAACCACTGCCGTGTGGCTTATTACAAGACTTTGATAGGCCACTGAGGATGCTCTAAAGATTAATTATACTGTTCTCTTTGACAACTTCCAATCCCATTTTCTATTTGAGATTTTTTTTTACATTTCACTGTCATTCATAGATTGAATGCAAAAATACTACAAAAGTTTCCACATGTAAATGTAATAGTACTAAATTAAATCTAAGTTTAAGAATGAGAAGTGTGTATACTTGGCAATGTTTACTCCAAATCAGGATAGAAATGGAGAAGTAAAAGTAGAGAATGGTTTGATGTATTCTTTGCAATGTTCGTATGGTATGACTTACTTTTGTCTTGTGAAAACTGTAAGCATTATGCACACCTTTGGTCCTCAGCTCCACCCATATCTGAGCTCCCTGCCCCTGAGTTCCCACCATACAGATGGCTCCTCCCTCTTTCTGCCCAGACCCACCTGAACTCTCATCTTCCTGCTTCCTCTCCCCCAGACCCAGCTGCTACCTATAGTGGAGGCTGCCATGTGCTCTCTCTCCAGGGCCAATATGGCTCCTCTAATAAACCTTGTAATAATCTTTCTCCTGTGTCTGCCTGCCTCAGCGTGGTCCCCAGGCATGGATGTGACCAATCCTCTCAAAAATGAAGTTGCATCTAATGGATATCTGGTAGGTATTTCCCTACAGGTCTCTCGTTGCAAGATACAAATCACATACCTGAATTAATTCAGCTTGATTTTATAGTTTGCATGACTTTTATGGATCACATTAAAATGCCTGTATCTGCACCCTTGCAAAACCACAAAAGCAAGTCTGTTCATTTTATAGGCGTATGTCTCTGAAGGATTAAAAAAAAGTACTACCCTGGTCAGAGTAAGCACTTAAACATTTGAGGAGTCTCTGATCGAACCTCTTTTGTCCTGTTTTTAAATGGTGAACCAGCGGGTCTATCAGTTCTCACCCTTTGGAGGGGAGCCAAATGTCAATGCATTCATTGTTCAATGTGCAGAGCTCTTTTAAGAATAAAGGATTACTGCGTACAATGGTAGAGAATAAACGCTTGAAATGGAAAAGGTAAATTGACAAACTGGCAGAGTTGGAAGCTACCAGAGTCTTCTAGTCCTGCTCATTAAACACAGGGAGTCGAGAATAACCTGGCCGGAAAGATGAACAATTCAGCTCAAGGAACCCATCCCTTTTTGCCTGGGGCTGTAATTTGGGCAGGGCACTGTCCTTGAACCTTTGTCCTCAAGGGTAAAATGTACCACTGGAGCCAGTTTCACTTCTGCAGTTTTTCTTCCTGGCGTTTATTTGCAGCTTCACAGGCCACCGTGGTGGACCAGCTTTGAACCGTAATTTTCACATTTCACCCCCGAAGTAGCTTTGATTGCAGGGATGAACCACATCAGAAATGACTTAAAGCACAGTACTTTAGCAAAGGCAATACTAAGCTAAGACCTTAAGCTTAAACCGCTTTTGCAATCACCTAGGCATCCTTAGTTAAGCTGAAACGGCGTAAAAACATAACAATGTTAGCCTCCTAAACTTACGGCGCCGTGCACAGCTCTCCCGATGACCACATGGTGGCCCTAAAAAGGGCCTTTGGGAATGGGACAAAACCGGGGCGGCGCCTTAGCCTCCGAAGCCGTAGAGGGTGCGGCCCTGGCGCTTGAGCGCGTAGACCACGTCCATGGCCGTCACGGTCTTGCGCTTGGCGTGCTCGGTGTAGGTGACCGCGTCCCGGATCACGTTCTCCAGGAACACCTTCAGCACACCCCGAGTTTCCTCGTAAATGAGGCCTGAGATCCGCTTGACACCCCCGCGCCGAGCAAGACGTCGGATGGCAGGCTTGGTGATGCCCTGAATGTTATCTCTCAGGACTTTGCGGTGGCGCTTAGCACCACCCTTGCCCAAACCCTTTCCACCTTTTCCTCTTCCAGACATCGCGGCTGTAGTTCAGAGAGAGCAGTTGGCAAGATGAGGTGAAACAGGCTTTCAGCGGCTATATATGTAAGAGAATCGGACCAGATTGAAAACCAGAGGCGCGCGCGGGAAGCAGCTCTCCAAGCCCTCCCCGTCCCGGACGTTGCGTCATTCGTCGTCGGCTTGCTCCTCGGCTGCCCTCTACCGGGCTCTCTGAAGCTTCCCTTTATTCTTATTTTCTGGTGGATGGTTCGTAATCCCAGGGAGAATTCAGATCCCAGCACTTTGTTTTCAGATTCCACAGTCTGTTTTTCTCTTCCCTTGTAGGCTTCACAGTGGAGCCAAACTGAGGTTAGAAGGAAAAGCGTCTGTGCAGAGAAAACCCGAGGAAGAGAAGATGGGAGTTCAGAAGAGAAGAGAAAGGGCCAGCTTGGGGATCGAATCCAAACCAGAGGATTCCGAATCATGGTTAAGTTACACAGAACTGCAGAAAAGCAGTTCGGATCCTTAGGCTGCCAGAGTCGGGAGCTGCGGCGGCTAGGGTACGTGTGGAATGAGGAGGTCAGGGAGAAGGTCACTATAACTCCTGAGTCCAGTCGGTATTTTGATGGTTGTAGGCTAAGCCCGAAGTCAGATCCTAGGACAACTGGCCTCAGGACGTTGCTTTCTGATGGAGGTTAGTGAATCCCAACGTACTGTCATTCAAGGCTTTGCTCAATGTAAATAAATTCAAGAGACAGGGGTTTCTTGCAAATCCATTTCTACAGTTCCTCTGAAATTGGCCCTTCTATTCCGCCAAGGTTTAGTGCTCAATCTATCTCAGTTGAGTTCCACTGGTTCCCCTAAAGCTAGAAAAGCTCTCCTAGTTGGGTGGGTTTTGCAAGAAGACATATGTTTCAAATGGACCATCATTTTGAAGTTGCCCTATGTAAAACTGATTGAAGTCCTATTAGTAGGTTCATTGCTTTACTAGGTCCCTCTATAGAACAATCCATTACAATTGTTTTTTGGGGTTTTTATTTTTGAGAGACAGAGACAGAGAGAGACAAAGAAAAAAAGAGTCACTGAGAAACAGAGATAGAGACAGGGACAGAAATGCTTATTTTGAGAAAAATCCTGTGTTCCAAGTTTCACCTCATACCTCTACTTTATGGTGAGGAATCCCAGGTCTTTATCCAAACTTCTAGGTTCCAGACACGTAGATCCATCTGGTGTTTCTGGATTTATTTTAAACTGAAGGGTAAAACTTCTAAAAATCAAACGTTTAAACTTAAAAAATCTCCAAGGTGTGATTATGTACTTACTGCTCCCTTTCTTAATGGTTCAGGGAGCCAAACCATGCACGCCATGCCATCCATGGATGCACGTATATGCCCAAGCAACAAGGAACTCAGAATAGATCTCTCCCTTGGCCACTGCAGGGCAAAGAAACAAACTTGTTCTTTTCTGATATTTCAGCAACTCTGGTAGAATATCTTGTTAAATGTCTGTATCTTCCCTAAGCCTTCTTTCCTGATTCTTACTGGCAGTGTTTATTGTTTTGCAAAATGGTAAGGTAGTTTAGTGTCTAGTATAAGCTCAACAATTATTTATAGAACAAACAGCTCCTATATTTGGCTGCTTTTAAACACAAGGGAAAAAGACATGACCAAATTACAACATGAGCAAAAACAAAAAAATACACTCAGAAGCAAAGGATGATAAAATGACACTTTTGGCATCAGAGGGGACAGAACCTTTGAATCAAAGCCTTTTTGGTTGTACAACCTTCTTTTGAAGGAGACCAGCATATGCTACCCTAAAATATGTCACTTTTTACATTTGAGTTCCTCAAATGCCTTATTTGTCTAAAAGTAGGGAATCCCTACCCCCCACCCCCACCAAAGAACTCAATATTTTAATTCGGTTGCATCTCCATGGAGGCAATTCTGATTTTCTCTTTTCAGAAATGAGAAGTTGGCACCATTCCTAAACATACTTTGCTGAGAGCTATCATATACCCCATCTATTCTAAGGCTATTTTTAAAAATCATTCATTTTTCAATGATTGTCTTTTCTTTTTGGCTCTCTTTCCCCATACTAAGTTACATGTACTAAGGTACATGGGCCCCAAGTTTTAGCAACCCCTTTGGACCATTTTTCTTGGAAAAACCTCCAGGTGTGCATTCAAAAACAAACATTTAAGCTGGGTGCTGGTGGCTCACTCCTGTAATCCTAGCTACTCAGGAGGCTTAGATCATGGTTTAAAGTCAACCTGGGCAGAAAAGTCCTCCTGAGACTTCAGTTAACTACTTGAAAACCAGAAGTAGAGCTGTAGTTCAAAGAGGTAGAGTGCTTTGAGTATAAAGAGCTCAGGGACAGCCCTGAGTTCATGCCCCACAAACAACAACAAAAACCCAAAACATTTACAAGCTTCTATTTTGATATATCTTCTGTGTGAGGGGTTAGTTCCAACTAAAAACCTTCAGGGTTAAAGAGATTATATAAAAAGTCCTTATATATCCCTTAATTTTTCTGCAATGAGGATAAAAATACTTTACCTTATAACTATTTGAAGCTTTGTAATGCAGAAAGTAACTATTCAAAACTAATAGAAGGGAGAATCTTGCTAAGTTTTACTTATTTGCAAGGTATTAGTGGAGTATTTAATCTCAGATGAAGAAGTTTAAAATCCTACAGTTTCTCAATTTGGTCTCAAGTGCTCATCAGTCAAGATGAAACCAAATCAGGCACAAAATCTTACTGATGAATAGCCCCAAATTCAAATGGTCCTACATATAACTCTATGGGGAAGGGTACTTGATATAAAAAAAACTGAACTCTCTTCTTGTAATAGCTTTTTTTTGGGGGGGGAGGGGTGTTGGTCATGGGGCCTGAACTCTGGGCCTAGGCTGTGCTGAAGACTCAAACCCAGGGCCTCATGCATGCAAGGCAAGCACTCTACCACTGAGCCGCCTTCCCAGCCCTTGTAATAGCTATTTTTAACTGCTTGTTACTTTTGTATTAAAAAACAACAGATAGGTACATGGAAAACATTACATGTCTAACAACTGATATAATAAAATTTTCTTTATTTCCTGTATGAAATAATGTAAGCTCCTCGTATTCTCCTGTGCTAATAAAATTCTGGTTTCCAGTTTTTAATATACAGATCCCACAGCTGTGGATAAAAGAAACTTCTCTCTGTGTCACAGCTGAAGAATAGTGGTTCTTTGGCACCATGACCCTGCTTGTGATGAAAATGGTAGATGAGAACTTTCACAGGAAAATTAGGATGCAATATGAGGACTAATGGGTGGACAGCCTGCATATGCAGGGCAAAAGGGATGATTCATCTTCTGGGTGGGACAGTATGAGAATCCCATCATTTGTCACATTACTCACAAAGGCCACACAATTAAAATCTTTTTTTTTTTTTTTTGTCGGTCGTGGGGCTTGAACTCTGGGCTTGGGCGCTGTCCCTCAGCTCTTCAGCTCAAGGCAAGCACTCTACCACTTGAGCTACAGCGCCACTTCCAGTTTTCTGGTAGTTTATTGGAGATAGGAGTCTCACGGTCTCTCCTGCCCGGGCTGGCTTTGAACCGAGATCCTCAGATCTCAGCCTCCTGAGTAGCTAGGATTACAGGCATGAGCCACCAGCGCCCGGCTACAATTAAAATCTTACGACTTACTTATTTCAGGAATTTTCCACTTAATAGTTCCCAAGCATGATTGAATGCAGAAATGGAAACTTGGGATAAGGGAGGATTTCTATGTAGAGTTTGAGAAACCTTTTCTGATTTAAATGAACACATGTATACATTTCACCTGAGCATACCACAAACAAAAAGATGTTGTGAAAACCATGGCCCTTGGGCGGGTGGGCTATCATACAGACCCTATGGGATATTCTGCCTTGTGATGAGACAGTTCAATAGAGAAGTTTGGGAAATTTTTGTTGCTGTTGTTGGTCCTGGGGCTTAAACTCTGGAATTGGGTGCTGTCCCTGAGCTTTTTTGCTTAAGGCTAGCATTCTACCACTTTGAGCCACAGCACCACTTTGGTTTTCTGCTGGTTAATTGGAGGTAAGAGTCTCACAGACTTTCCTGAGTGGGCAGGCATTGAACCATGGTCCTCAAATCTCCAGCCTCCTGCATAGCTAGGATTACAGGTGTGAGCCACTGGTACCTGGCAGAAATTTGAGAAACACTGGATGGTTTGGTTACATGATAAGTTACTGCGGTTCTTCAAATGCACCTGGTAAAACCTGATGAAAGAGGAAATTCATCATTGTAATTTCACTCTTTTGCCTCAAAAATATTATGTGTGCTTTCTTATTTACTACCCGGAGAAGCTGTAATTTTCCTGAGACTCAGTTTCTTATCTGTAAAGCCACAGAATGCATATTGTGATAAAATGTAAGAACTATTATACAATGAATAGTGCGCTATGCTTATAAGGCATCATTATAAAGTAACCACAAGAACGGATAATATTTGTTTATATCACTTGTACGTTACTTTAGATTTCCTGAGAGATTGATTTTGCCCAACATGGGTTCTTCAAGATAATAATCCAATTAAATTCTTTTTTTTTTTTGGGTCCGGTCGTGGGGCCTGAACTCTGGGCCTGGGTGCTATCCCTCAGCTCTTCAGCTCAAGGCTAGTGCTCTACCACTTGAGCCACAGCACCACGTCCAGCTTTTTTCTTATGTGGTGCTGAGGATTTGAACCCAGGGTCTCAAGCATGCAAGGCAAGCGCTCTACCACTGAGCCACCTTCTCAGCCCCCAATTAAGTAAGTTCTTATAGGCTTCAAGACCAGCACCAAAAAAAAAAAAAAGCACTTTCCTGAACAATGCTTCAAAACATGTGAGATAAGCCAGGCACTGGTGGTTTATGTCTATAATCCCAGCTTTTCAGAAGGCCTAGATCTGAGGATTGTGATTTAAGCCAGTCCAGGCAGAAAAATCTTTGAGACTCTTACCTCCAGTTAACTACTCAAAAGTCAGATGTGAGACCTTGGCTCAAATGATAGAATGCCAGCCTTGAGTTAAAAAGCTAAGGGACAGGTACCAGGCCTTACACATAGATATGTGTTATACCACATATATATCATATATAAACCATGAAATAGGTAAAATGCATGGATTTTTCAATTTTGTGGTAAATAGAAAACAAAACAAAACAAAACAAAACCCTGTGTGTGTGTGTGCACACTGGTACTGCCTGGGCCTTGAATTTAGAACCTGGGCACTGTTCATGAGCTTTTTCATTGAAGGCTAGCACTCTACCACTTGAGCCACAGCCTAACTTCTATCTTTTTGGTGGTTAATTGGAGATAAGTCTGGTGTTCCTGCCCTGGCTGGCTTTGAATCCTGATTCTCAGATCTCATCCTCCTGAGTAACTAGGATTACAGGTGTGTGATTCTCAGATCTCATCCTCCTGAGTAACTAGGATTACAGGTGTGAGCCACCTGTAATCTTCTGCACCTGGCAGAAGATAAAGTCAACTTTTAGGAATTAAAAAATATTTAAATTTGAAGAAAATTACTAGCCACACATTATTTGCTTGGAAGATAACTTATTTGGTTGATAAACAATCAAGTTTAGAAACTTCCTCCTGTAAAGGAGAAATACAAAGGGAAACATGTATTTAGCTTTTTTTTTTGGCAGTCCTGGGCCTTGAACTCTGGGCTTGGGCAATGTCCCTGCCTTCTTTTGTTCAAGGCCAGCACTCTGCCACTTGAGCCACAGCACCACTTCTGGCTTTTTCTGTCTATGTGGTACCGAGGAATCGAACCCAGGGTTTCATGCAGGTTAGGCAAGCACTCTACTGCTAAGTCACATTCCCAGCCCCAAAGTTCTATCTTTGACTTAGAAACATTTCATCTGTTGGACCTAAATGGCTTTTGGTGTAGGGGAGAGAATAGGTCCATATCCCAGAAAGGAAAAGGAAGGCAGAGGCTGTAAGTAATCTAGCTGGTGAACAAACTGTAGATTAAAATGGGGCTTTAAGCTTAGAAATCAGGTAAATACGTTTGATCTTTCATTTCACTGCATGTTATTTTGTTATACTTCAGTAAGGATATAATGTGCTAACTAGCTAGGGGCCATGTCGAAGGGGAGTGACAGTAGTGACTTGAAACAAACTGAAACCTAGTACTTAGGAACATGCTTGTTTTTAGAAGAAACCTGGTAAATGTATAAAGCTTGCAAAATACTATGCATTGCTTGAACCAAAGTTACATCTACTTAAAGAACCTTACCTTCCAAAGTTCTTAAAAAAAACAACAACAAACACCAAAACATTGTAATCAATAAGTTACAGAAAAAGAAGAGGGAAGAGGGGAGGAATAAGACCATCTTCTCTCTCCTGAAATAGGATTGAATTCTATCCAATGGGATCACAAGCCAAGAAGTTCCTGTTTTGTAGGCCAATCAAGGCGAGGGTATGTCTATAAGTAGGACTGCCCGGGAGCCTCTGCACGTAGGCAGTAGACAGTCCAACCATGGCCCGCACGAAGCAGACGGCGCGCAAGTCGACCGGCGGCAAGGCCCCGCGCAAGCAGCTGGCCACCAAGGCGGCCCGCAAGAGCGCGCCGGCCACGGGCGGCGTGAAGAAGCCGCACCGCTACCGGCCGGGCACCGTGGCGCTGCGCGAGATCCGGCGCTACCAGAAGTCGACGGAGCTGCTGATCCGCAAGCTGCCGTTCCAGCGGCTGGTGCGCGAGATCGCGCAGGACTTCAAGACGGACCTGCGCTTCCAGAGCTCGGCCGTGATGGCGCTGCAGGAGGCGAGCGAGGCCTACCTGGTGGGGCTGTTCGAGGACACCAACCTGTGCGCCATCCACGCCAAGCGCGTCACCATCATGCCCAAGGACATCCAGCTGGCCCGCCGCATCCGCGGGGAGCGCGCTTAAAGCCACACTTTAAAGTAACCAATACAAAGGCTCTTTTCAGAGCCACCCACGCTTTCATGAACGGCAGCTGTAACCAGCCAAACCGCTGTTAGGTCATTGAACGCAATATTCTGGGCATTTGGCTAAGGAAACCTGTATCCGATAGTCTGTTCTTGTAGGTCCGCAGGCCACGCCGGCCACTAATAATTTACCAATTATGTGAGATTAGGGGCTGGGAAGGTGGCTCAGGGGTAGAGCGCTAGCCTTGCATGCCTGAGGCCCTGGGTTTGATTCCTCAGCACCACATAAGAAAAAAGCCAGAAGTGGCACTGTGGCTCAAGTGGTAGAGCACTAGCCTTGAGCTGAAGAGCTGAGGGACAGCGCCCAGGCCCAGAGTTCAGGCCCCACGACCGGACCCCCCAAGAAGACAATTAGGTGAGATTGGGGGTAGCTCAGCAGTGGCCCAGGAAAGTTAATGGGATCGTTTGGTTTTTCTTCCTAGTGGAGGGCAACCCTGATTGCGAAGCCCTTTTTTGATTTAGGAATTGGATGACGCTGGGGCTATTCAGCTGGCTTAAACCGGAATAATAAAGAAGCGAAGTGTGTTCCTGGTGGTCTGTAAATGTATGGGTTGAGGTACTCAAGAAACGGGAAATACAGTAAAATGATATAAAGAAGAGGGGGGCAGTTATTTTTAATCTGTAAAAGTCTAGGATTGAAAGAAAAAACCAGGTGAAGAAACTGTAATGTTCTGGTAACTGAGATGGAACACTCTGATTGGCTAGCAAGCTTTCCATTCTAATGACCACTAAGAAAACACCACAGGGAGCAATTTAAATAGACCCCACCTCCCAGTGACGACTATTGTAAACTAACCAATAAAGTGAAGGTACTGTAGGAGACTTAATTTGCATACCGGCTCTATAAGTAGCGTGAGATCAGGCCCTTCTGCGGTAGTTGGCGATTACCTCATTTGGAGAGCAGTTCGTTCTCGGAGGAGGGAAAATGCCTGATCCTGCTAAATCCGCTCCTGCTCCTAAGAAGGGCTCGAAGAAGGCCGTGACGAAGGTGCAGAAGAAGGACGGCAAGAAGCGCAAGCGCAGCCGCAAGGAGAGCTACTCCGTCTACGTGTACAAGGTGCTGAAGCAGGTGCACCCCGACACCGGCATCTCGTCCAAGGCCATGGGCATCATGAACTCGTTCGTGAACGACATCTTCGAGCGCATCGCGGGCGAGGCGTCGCGCCTGGCGCACTACAACAAGCGCTCGACCATCACGTCTCGGGAGATCCAGACGGCCGTGCGCCTGCTGCTGCCCGGGGAGCTGGCCAAGCACGCCGTGTCCGAGGGCACCAAGGCCGTCACCAAGTACACCAGCTCCAAGTAAGGTTGCACAAGAGACGCGACGCATCTGCTATACCCCAAAGGCTCTTTTCAGAGCCACTTCATTTAACAAAGGAAAGGGCTGTAAACTCTTGGTCTTGCGTTCTGATGTAGGTCTCCGAGCCTTTTATAATTCGGTGCAACCTAGCCGTGTTGGCTAGTCGAAAGGACGCTGTTGTCAACAAATGTGTATTCCTCGACTCCTTGGTGTAAGACTGGCGCAACATTCCCTGTTCCCAAGAGTATTGGAGGGGGAGCCAGAGGTTGGGAGGACGCGGGCCCACATCTCTTAGAAAACCCCTATACCTCCAGCTTGATTTTGGAAGTCTTAAGCTGTGCTTGCTCTTCCTTACAGTGTACTGATGAAAGTTTTTAGTTCTTTCAGTTGTAGTGTTTCCTATCTAACACCAGTATACCCAGTCTGGCTTGCCTCTACAATTATGAGCCCACGGTTTTTCAGTGGCTTTACTTAGGGAAACCATCCCGCCGTCCATCCATCCTGCCCCCCCCCCCCAACCCCTGTCTCCTTGTAGCCCTAGGAATTCTGGAAATATAAATATTTCTGCTAAACATGGTGGGAGGGATAATTCCTATAATGCACTGGACAAAAACCCCCCTCTTCCCAAGCACAATTATTACTTGGCCTAGAATATTGTTTTGCAGACATTGAGAAACCCAGGACTTAGACCTCCCTAGCTTTTAGAATTTGTTTAGTTTGCCAGTCTTGGGGCTTGAACTCAGGGCCTGGGCACTGTCCCTGAGCTTTTGCTTAAGGCTAGCACTACCAGTTGAGCCACAACACCACTTCTGCCTGCTGCTTCTGTTGATGTGATACTGAGGAATCAAATCCAGGGCTTCATGCAAGCTAGGCAAGCACTCTACCACTAAGTCATCCCCAGCCCCTAGCCTTCAGAATTTAACCCACCTTTTCCTCAACTCCACCTGTTAACTATAGGTCATTCTCCACTGGGCCATCTCATCCAGGGCCAGGACCCTGCCTTGGTTCTGTTAACTAACAAATATTCTTGATAGTAAGAGTCACCTGGGTGCTTGTTAAACATCTCCAGGTGCCTCTTCTGAACCTCACAGATCCAGTCAGGTTGCAGGTGTGTTTAATAGGTTTTGGATTATACCCGTATTTGGTGTTCACATGTCAGATCTCCAAATGTTAGTGAACCTGTGGGTGTCAGAACCCTTGTGTCATATGCTCTGGGAATGGAAACAAGGATGACTGGAGAATTCACACAGAAGCCCTAAGCTAATATGTGCAAAACATTTCTGAAGACTCTGTCCCCAATTCAAGACTCATCATGATTGAAGCCAGGGGATTTTCTTTTACTAAATGAATATACTGTTTGGACTCTAGCAGGAAAAAGTCATGTGGTCTTCGAGGTTCTTTATACGATGTCTGGAAGTTGAGTAATGACCCCCACCTGTATTCCTATCTGTTCTGCTCCACTCCAGTCCTCTCTGAGTTGTTGTGCTTGGGTTTGATGGCCTGGGAAATTACAGGATAAACCGAAGAAGATCCTCGCAAGTGAAGCATCCACAAATCTAAGAGTCCTTGGTGGTTTTCTCTGCCTAAGTCTGGGAATGAAGAAAGTCAACCGTGCCTCCTTAGTCCCACCTCAAACCGAGATCACCTTCCTCCTCCCACCCACCCTTCCACACCCTGTTCTCAGTCCTGGAAACACAGGGGAAGTCTCGGATCCTTGGGGCCCAAAGCTGAATTCACTATCCCGCTTCATTTGCAGGAAGCTCTTGAGGCACCTGGGGTCTCTGCCCTCCCTTTTGCAGACCGAACCGTCCTAAGAACCCCTTCCTGGCTCTGGCGATGCTGGAAGCAGTGCAAAGGTCATCTGTGCTAGACAGGGAGGCGGGTGACCGCCGCCTCCTCCACCTGCCTTTTTTCGTCTCTCTAGGCCCGCAGAGCTGCTGGGACTCCCTGCCTGCGGGTTACTAGGGCCTCCGCAGGTGCGTGTGCTGAGAGGTCCATAGCGGCCGCCAGGGGTCGCTGCGCAGAGCGGCTGTGCCCCGACTGACTGGCAGGGACAAGAGCGAAGGTTTGTGCGGGGCGGCTGCAGGGCGCAGGCGCATCTGGCTCCCCGACACACGCACACGCACACGCACACACACACGCACACGCGCACACACACATCCTCTCTGGGTGCTTACACCTGCGGGCCCGGAATGACCCTTTTAACGATGGGGTTCAGCAGTGGTGCGACGAGTTAGATGCTCTTTTGGGTACAGAGGTGTATCGGACACGCACGACCCTTTAACCGCTTGAAACTGCTTGCCTCCGCGGCTGCCATGCCACTCCAGAGCTCATTGGCCGCTCCTGCCGGCTCCGAAGGCAAATAATTTCTTCCAAGATTTTCAGAGGTGAAGTCGTGGCGAGTCCTGCGCACGGGTGGCCACAAGGTGGCGCCAGGAGACCACCACGGAATCTGCGAGGCGAGGCGGTCGACCTATTTCAGAGCCAGCTTCTACTACTAATGAAGTGTCCAGCTCAAAATAGTGTATTCATGCCGGTTAAATAGGTTATGGATAAGAAAATCTACACATCTCAGAAGAAAAGATAATTGATTAAGGGGCAGCAAGCAGATTTGCCAACAAGTTCAAATCTGAATATGGATTTGCAAGACAGGATTCCCCCTTTTTTTTTGTATTAAAAGCTTTTATTTTAATTTACTATTTTGGCAAAAACTCCTGAAGCCATGTCTTAAAATTATTCAACCAAGTTTATAAAACGCATCAGTGTTACCTTCAACGCATTTTTTTTTAACCTGAAAGATGTCCTGTTGATCTGTCAGAAGCAAAATAATTTTCCCTGTCTTTTTTTAAAGTAATGTAGAAAATGTAACAATATACTGAGTGGGCCTGGGTGAGGAAGAGACAGCTCTTTGAAGTCAGACCATTCTTGCCAGCTTGCTTTCTACCTCTCCTAAATACCTTTGGTGGTAGCATTTATGCGCTTCAGCCAGTACTTCAAGCTTCTTGAATTGTGTGTGCCATGGCATTTTGCCTTTTCCTCCTTGTGATTTTGGGGAGCATGTAACTACATTCTCATAGGCTCTCGTTATGTACTTGTCCTCAAACTCATAGTCCTCCTGCCTCCCGAGTGGGGACTACAAATGTACACGGTGCCCCAGCTCTGCTCTCATATTTCTTACATTCTCTTTACTTTAGCTTTCATGAGACCACAGGGCCAAATGTCCTTTGGTGAGTAGAAAGAGGTAAGATCTTTCACTGGAAATTGTCATAAGTCCTGCCCCAGTACACTAGTATTCAGAATATAGCAATGTGGACCCATATAACTTTCTTATTGTGTGTGTGGTGCTGGGAAGTGAACCCAGGACCTTGGGCATGCTATGCAAGCACTCTCCATTTGAACTTCTCTTCCCTTTGCCCTTTTATTTTGAGTCAGGATGTTACTACTACCTTTGCCTTGTCTGGCTTCAAACTCACCATCCTCCGATCTGCTTGGCCAGGAAGCAGACTTTCTGAGTAAGTAGGATTACATGTGAGCATCCCACATCCGGCTTTACAAATCCATTTATAATCCTTAGCTTAGTACCGCCTCTACCCTCCATAAATATAAGATAGGGAAAGACAGAAAAAGGCACAAGAACTTCCCTCTGGTTTATACTGCCTTTGTCCTTTTGATAGCACAGAGAGATTTTTATGCTTGGGTCAATATATCATGATGTGGGATGGACGAGGCTCCTGTTTTTCTTCAGAAGACTGGGAGAAGGGTGACTGGGAAAGAAGAGTAAAAAAAGGAGACCTGACTGCAAGCAGCAGACAGCACAGATGGATCTGTATTATACAAGAGGATTATGGACCTCATTAAAACAACCAAACTTAGGTCCTCCCAAAGGAGGATTCTGAGGCCAGAATTGAAGGCTACGTATCTTATTTAGGGGGTAATCTTGAAAATGGGAGAGATGGGATCAAAAGGGGGGGTCCTAACAAGCAACTGGTCACTGTGGGACGTGGTGCTTAGTCTTTGGGGGAGGGGAGAACTGGATGGGACACACCATAGCTCCAGCTTGCATGTTTGGCTGGCACTCTACCATTTGAACCATATCAACAGCCTGATTTATTGTTTGCTGGTTATATTTGGTGATGGAGTCTCATAGGGCTTTTACATCTGAACTGGCTGTGAATCTGTTTTCTAGGTCTTCGCCTCCCGAGGAGCTAGGATTATAGATGTAAGCCAACGGTATTTTTTATTGGTTGGAGACCCATCATAGATCCTTTTACCTTCAGGCAACTCTGGTGTATGTGGAGGAGTTAAGAGACCACCATGGTACACAAATCCCAGAACACAGAGCGGCTGATGATGCCAGTGGTAATGCCAAGAATCTCATGCCCAGGTTCAGGCAAGCACCATCTCTTTGAATTTCTCCCCCCATACCCCAGGTTTCTCTGCAAGCTGAAAAACTAGTATGAAGAATAAAACTGATCATAGTACTTTGGTCTTTAGGTGTGAAACAAAGTAAGATTTAGTGATTTAAAAAAAAAGACACCTTAAGTTAAAGCTTCCTATGGGTACTTGTTACTCTATCTCTGAAGAAATCTCCACTTCCTTCCCATACTTCACCTGTTCCTAAACAGAATTACAACCATGAGACCCTGCCAGTATGGAGACTTTCCCCAAAGGTGATGGCTGGTGAGCAAGAAGGCACTCAGAAGCCAGGCAGAGTAGATCATATCCTGTACAACTAGCTACTTAGGAGGCAGAGATCAGCAGGGTGTGGGAGGATATTGCAAGACCCCATCTTAATGGATAACTTAGCATGGTTTTTCACACCTGCCATCCTGTTATTTGAGAAGCCTAAAACTAGGAAGATGGCAGTTCAGCCTTGCAGGGAAACTGGAGGCCTGGGATCCACCTAGAGATGGGATGACATGGGACAAGGCCCTGTCCAGACAAGCCTTGGGCCTTGGTAGAACAGGCAGGTGGGCCCCAGTGGGAGCAAGGAGGCGTCAAGCTATCCTGGGTGTACTCATAGAGCAGAAATTGTTTAAGAGATAGGTTTAATTGAACAAGTTATTTAAGCATTAAAATACAATTAG